AAAAATATCTGATCTGCATGACGTAAACTATAAGAGGATCTGAATGGAATTAAATACTGTTTAAGATATACCTATATCACGCTATTTTCTGATCTATGTTATAATGTTTTCTCATCACAAACAGACCTGGAGTTGTATTTTGTTTCATTCACACATGTTTAACACTTCAACCCTGCACTTAGTCTGATTTCTTCTCTCAAAGAGAAAACACTCTACTGCACCTTCTGATGTCATGTGGTAATGCACTAGAATTACTTGGATAATTTCAGCCCTGGAATTGCATATCTCTGCTGAATAACAGGTAAAAGGAGCTGTTAACTTGAAAACTACTGCTTAGTGACATCACAAGGTGGAACAGAGCATTTTGAGCTTTGGAGATGTGGACAGATTAATACTAAACAAACATGTGTGGATGAAACAAAACACAACTCCAGGTCTGTTTTTTGATGAAGAAACAACATTATAACATGGCTTAAAGCTCACAAGAGTCAGTTTGAATTGATTTGAATAAACTTTTTGTTTATTATCCCTTTTTGTACTAAAATTATAAACTTCATTTTGATACTAAGGAATAAACACTGTACTCAATACGTATTCCAATACCACTGTGATAATAGGCACATTATTTCTTTAGACAATAGGATGTCATTTCCAACATTAAATCATACTTTCTTTTACCATTTGGCCTTGTATCTGTGTAATCCCTGAATCGGCCAGGTACGTTCCATAGTGGTCCATGGGTGTCTTATGTGTCTTATACTTGCTCTGATACAGCTCAAGATCTTTCTAAAGCTATTCAATAAAGGTTCATTTCTGTCCTGTGAAGTGAGTTAGATTTGTTCTTGTTTTGTGCTCTTCAGCAGCCCTGTCTCCTCTGCATTAGGCTGGAGTTGAACCCACAGCTCTGAGTCAGTCTTGTGGTCACATGATCAGTGTACTCAGCAGGAGGCAGAGACACCACATGTTTTTAGCTCCTTAACTTTAACACAGAGTTTTGCTGACTGGTTTAAACACTCACAATCTGTTAAACGCATTGTGTTAATCTTTACCTCATTAATACACACTTCACAGAAAAGCACAGACTATGGCCTTCAGTAAAGATAGTATAACAATTACATGATTTTAAAAGTGAAACTAAATTATTATGGGCTATAATTAAGTGTAAAACTTGACTAAAGCAGTACTAAAGCAAGACTAGAGAACCAAGACTAAAACAGGTCTAAACCAGGACTAAACCAGGGCTAAACCAGTTCTACACCAGTTCCAAACCAGGACTAAACCAGGACTAAAGCAGGACTAAACCAGGACTAAACCAGGACTAAACTAGGGCTGAAGCAGGACTAAGCACACTTTACCCACCCATCTTGCCTTTTCTGCAGTGTGTGATTGATGGTTAGAGGACGTCATAGATTATAAGTATAAAGCAGACAAGCACAATAGGTGTTCTTTTAGGTACTACAAAAGCAATATATAAAACTACTATTATTTTTTCACTGAAACTCTGTTGGACACATGTCTAAGAGCAGCTTTGTTTCCTTAGGACAATATTAAACTGGAGAATTATTAACCTGCAGCCTGCTGTGGACCTTTGATTCTGTCTTTGTACCATTCTTATCATTCCTCTCATAGCCTCGTATTATGGGCTTTTTTAAGAGGCCATAATGTGCTTGTATCTGCTATATAGTTATAATCTATGACGTTGTTAGAATTTGAATATGTTAAATCACAATATTCATCTAAAAGGTCCGCTGACTTCTCCATTAGAAAACTGTGGTGCTCAGTGGGAGCTGATTGAGTAAACATTGAAACAAAATCAAATCTCTGTTTTAAACTCATCGCAAAGGCTGCAGTAATTTAGGTAATAAAATATCATCTTTGAAAGCTAACTGTCCCTGTGTCACCATGGGATCTTATTTTGTGTAAACGCTTTCAGCCCTGTAGTTTACACATTTACAAACATGTTCTGAAATGTCCCTGTGAGCCAGATGTCCTTCCTGTGTGTCAGATGCCCTCCCTGCATCTCCATGGGGTCTTACTCTGTGTAAAAGCTGTTAACTCTGTGGTTTAGAACTCTACAAACATGTTCTGAAATACATGGGATTCTTGGATTAGTTTAAAGTTCAGATTTCAGTCTCTCAAATGTTAATGCTTCTGGAATGGGTTTAAAATAAATGTGGATTAACATATTCTCAGTTGCAATTACTGGGTTTCACATGACATCATAGCATTCTACAAGTCATTAATGTTTAATACAGATGAGGGGCAAGCAACATTAATGTTGGTTAAATGCTCATTTTGGTCGTAATACAGTTAGTTATTGAGTTTAGTCATTAATAGAAATGCTCAGGTTCAACATTTGTGAATTTTACTTTGTCTTATAAAATGTATATTGTTTAGCTTTGTGGACAGTCAGAGCAGATGTGGAAAGAGAAGAAATAGAGAAAGGGATAGAGGGACAGAGATGGAGAGAGAATGGAGAAAGAGAGAGATGAGAGAGATGTTGAGAGACGGCGGGAAGAAAGAGGGAGCGATAATAGACCAGTGTGATAATAGAACAAAGTCCATGTCCATTTGGTTTTGGTGCTATTTTTACCTCCACAGATGTAGCGTTTGTATATTTACACATTTGGCAGGAAGTCCGTTCTGCTTTTTTATATTCACCAGCTTCCCTTTTTGTCACGTTTAAGCCGGATGCCCTTCCTCCTATAAACCCCCTCATCCTGTGGCACAGCGGCGGTCTAATCCAAACTGTAAAAATCTCACCCAGTAAATAACCAGTACTAAACCAGAACTAACCCAGGACTAAGCCAGGACTGAACCAGGACCAAATCATGACTAAACCAAAACTAAACCAGGACTAAACTGTGACTGTCATGATTTATGGTCCACATCTGGGCTTTACGGGGGTCATTAGAGTAGCAGCTGCCAAACACATGACACACAGAGAAAGAATGTGCATTAGAAGAGTGCGTTTAGTGCGAAAGTCATCTCAATCTAAAATCATTCAATGGTTCTTTTTTTTTTTCATATTTCATATTTTTAGCTGAGCTGTCTCTAGTTAATCTGCAGATGTTGTGGTTGGATAAATAAAGTGGGAGAATGGACTTTCCTTGTCATTAATACAGTAGAAATAATCTTGGGAAACATTTGTGGATCCAAACAGAAAGGCCAAGGCAGCCTGTCACAATAATTACTGTATTGACTATCTGACTAATATAAACTGGAACAGGATATTTTGGGGTCAGTATTTATTGTGCATACATTTTCTTAGCAAAAGTAGGGAGATTTTTGTCATTTTTTTGCGCTATGATGAGATTTAAGCAGTAGAGAGTAAAATAAATAACTTCTTTGGCTAATTATTAATTCACTCTGCTATTTATTAGTCGCAGCTCAAAACTTTTAATGTTACAGTTTATTTAAACATCAATCTACTGGGATTATTCTGCTTTGTGTTAGTGGCATAAAGTAGTAACAATCAATATTGTCAGTTTTTGTCTATTTTCTTGCTTCAAAATGTATTATCATGACAGGTCTACCCAGGAGTTGAACCTGAAATCTTCTCATGTGTGGCATAAATGCTAGCCACTCTGCCACCGTGCAGTCTAGTTACTGTATTGTTTTCTCTGTGCTGCTGTTCTAAGCTGGTTCTGGTTTTTAATTAGAGAACACTAAAGGAATTCAACAAGTCCCTTTACAATGGCCTCACTGACTGACCTACTTAAGTTATTAGGACACACTCTATCTCTGATTTATGGGCTAGATCATACTCTATACTATCAGTGCACAGAGATGCTGAGTTCATGGTTGATTTTCCGTTGTATTCACTGCAGTTTATTTTCATGGGTCTGGACTTCAGGGTTAATGTGTTACATTTCTACACAGTGTCTGTAAATGAGACAAAGTCCGAAAGTACTGTTTCTTTTACTGGGTGATCTGAACTGAATGTGTCTCTATAGTCCTCTACACTTGTGGAATACATGATTTTTGTGTTTTTATCCCTATATATTGTAAAAGCAGCTCTTCTCGCTCATAAACATTTCCAGAGGAGCGTAATATGAAGTGATGCTAACAGAAAACTACTCTGCAAAGGATATGCTGTCCTAGCCTGATTCATCAGCCGGTTTCACTTCGTAGAAACTGTATGACCTCGCAGTGTTAGAATTCGTTTACTTGATGGTAGGCGGGTACTTTTTATCATTTAACCAATCGCTGCTATTTGGTAGTCACGTATGTAATGTGCCACTAACTGGTATATTGAGCTTTTCCCAAATCCCGTAGGAAGAAGGGCAATAACATCTTTCCCCTTGATGAAATTCACCAAACATTTTCTTTATTCCGGCTTTGAATCCTCAGTCTCGGAATCGTTGACAACACTGAATATATGGCTCTTCGCTGATTGGCTGTTGCCCGAACTTGCACTTCTGGGGTTTTTGTGAGCTGCCTAGTGTATTTTGATTCCTGACCTAGTTGCTGGAGAGAAATGAAATTGATTGGATGCACTAGGTGGTGCCAGCCTGGCTCTATGCTGTCCCACCTGCCAGTCCCTAATCCCATAGGAAAACAATGGACAAATAAAACCAATTCACAATATACAGAGAAAAACTAGTCTATTAGCCTCCAACTAAGTCAGCTCTTTCTCATCAGATTGTGTTAACAAAGCTCAGATTAAAGTCTAACTTGAGTAACAGATCTTGAGACAGAGCAGAGCCTACAGTTATCATTACATCCCCAGGGAACGTTGATGACCTCAGCTGCAAAGTATCATTTGCAATACTCAACAGAAAAACTGCAATTTAATATTTTTACAAAGTAATGCAGTCCTAGCGTACATATCACTTCCTTTTGTGGTTTTCTTCCGGGTTTGCCACTGATAACATGTCAAAAAGTGCCCCTTTTAAAATAACCTCTTATCAGATTTAAAAGAAAACATTTTAGTCAATACAAATATTCAAATCTATCATAAAGGTTTATTGTGATAATTGTTGTTTTCTTTCTTCCAGCCGCAAAACGGGTCACTACATAGTCCAGCAGAACCAAAGCAACAGATATGGGCAGAATATCCCTGTCGCCAGCCCAAAACTACATGAGCCACAATGCACTGAAGCAGAGCTCTCTTCCCGCTCCACTAGTCCCAAACCGGAGCAGTCTGCACTACATTACCCACGATCCTCCAGCCCCAGACCACAACAAACACAACCCGCCATCTCCAAACCTGAGCCGAGTGGACTACATCACCCGCAATCCTCTGGGGCTCCTCTGTCCTCCAGTCCCAAACCAGGGTCTAGTCCAAACACTAGACTCAGACCACGGCCGGCCTGTCTGCGATCCACCTCACAGGTAAAACCACATGTGAACGCTGTGTTTAAAGGTGTAATGTGCAACTTTTTTGGTGGTGTAAGGGGTAAAAGTCTTCATAAAGGAGTTTCAATGCATGTTAATACAAAACTCATTTGCATTGCTGAATATCATATTTTTTTGTGAATCAACAATGGGTGCTACTATTAACCGGCTGATGAGGTCACAAATTCACAGTCCACTGGCTTCACTGATGTAATGGTGCCTAGGCCAAGAATATCAGACCAATCATAGAGCAACATTGTATTTTGGGTGGAGCCAAAGTTTGTAGTAAAACAAGGTCGGGGGTGAGTGGGTACTAAATTCAAAAATCACATCAACTATGAAAAAACCCATATTGGTCCGTCTCTACTATTGAACCTACTTAGATGACTGAGAGATTACCATAAACTGTATCTTTAAATGAACATAGCTAGCTGCCATGTTCCGAATAGGAAGTGAGCATGGGGGCGCTTCTGGCTCCAACTGACTTGACTACATTGAAAGTTGTTGCACCTCTCTCTGTAACTGCTGATGTCAGGCTCCTCATTTTGTTCATATTACCTGTTCTACATGATCTTGGTGTTTTTATTTCTCTTTTTTGTCTATAAATACATTTCTATTCCAGGGTTGTAATAATAACTGAAATATCATGATATCGTATCGTCAAAGTTCTCACAGTAATATCGTGGACCATCAGAATATATTGAATTACAAGTCTGTTTGCTTAAATTAAGAGTTATGGTGCAGCAATAGCTAAAAAAAAGACAGAGGGAACTACATAGACCATGATCCTTTGCTCCATTTCACCGTAGACTACAAGAAGAAATAACAGGTATAAGCACTTTTAAATCATAGTTCTATGGATTAAGCCTTGTCAAGGCATTTTAAGAGGAAAAAGTAACATATTAATAGTTTTCTTAGCCTCTAAAAAATATCACAATAAATATCATACCGTGAGGTTCATACCGTGACAATCTCGTATCGTGAGACATGGATATCGGTCTATTCTTTTGTATCGAAAGTAGTATTTTGACAACACTATTCCAGACTGATTAATATGTACAGTAGAACTCAACTCATTATTTGAGGAATGTCACCACTATTTGCCTTTAACTGTATTCTGTAGCTCCAGTTGACCTTAGGAACAAGCTAAGACATGCACGAGTATGTAGTGACGCTGGTGCAGATTTCACCTTGATAAATAAGCCCACAGTGTTTTTGAAATGGTCTCCAGTCTGTAGCTCCTTTCTGATCTTAGTTTTATTGTGTGTTTTGAACGTCAGGACTCTCTGGACGAGCTGGAGATGGACGATTACTGGAAAGAAGTGGAGAACATCACCAGCTCGACCGATGGAGAGAGGAGGGGAGAGGGAGAGTCACAGGAGGAGGAGCCGAGCAAGACTCCAGAGGGTACGAACTTCACACGGTGTTTCGGGGGGCTGTTTAGGATTTACCATAGACTGTATTTATAAATGGACATAGTTAACTTTCTAGGCCGCACGTTCCAAATAAGAAGTGAGCATGGGTGAGAAGTGGTTCCTTTGAGGTCTGGTTACGGTTCACTTTCTATTGAAAAACCATTGCCCCTCTCTCTACAGCTGTTGCTGTGAGCACTGTCATTTTGCTCTTAAAATGTCTGTATTAAGACACTCTATACTGTGTTTTTATTTTGGTTTTTTGTTCCTAAATCAAGATATGAGCATTAATAATAGGTTGCCCTGCTAGCATTAGCATTAGCAACAGGATGGTTGACAGCCACATTGCCGGCATCGGTGGTTAGGGCAGACTTGGGAACTATACACTTCCCGGGCCCCATACGACCCTTTGGCTGACTCTGACTGGCCCCTTTAATCTAATTTGGAATTACAAGATAAACATATTTTATCATTTTACCTCATGCATGGACTAAAGCTGCATTGCTTTTATTTTTTTTTAATTACATTTTTTGTAAGGCAACTGCACTTTTTCATTGCTTAGTCATAACATAAACTCTTACCAGTCTGACCAGCTTGTCAAAACAATGCTATTTACTGCTTTTCATAAAGAAACACACATAATATTATGCAGATAATTGCTCTTCCCTAGGTTAGAGGAACCAACCCCCGGTTTGGGGTGGTTGGTAATAATAAAACTGTGAAATGAGTGTGAAAATTGTTCCACATGGCCTATTCATGACTAACATGTGAGCTAGTATAGTCACATTTTCTTTGAGTTTGGTCATTGTTTTTCTGTATTTTACTGAAGCTAATGACAGTTTATGCCTCTGTTTACTGTTGGCAGGGGTCAAATTGGTCAACAATAGGGACATATGGGATCATCGTATAAAACTGGGCCTAATCAGTGGTTTTGGACGAATATGATGGGACAGGGGACACTGCTCAAAACTGGGACTGTCCCGGGTAAATAGGGACATCTGGTCACCCTAGTCAATCTGTCCTTAGGCAATACACTTCACCCACATTTCCTAGTATGGTAGTGGTGTGTGAGTGTTGGTGGTGGTCAGTGGGGACTATATTTTAACCCAAACCATACACAATTAAACCAAATATAAATAAAATGTAACAAAAGTTTCCTTAAATATAAAAATAAATTATCTTGAGTTAAAGGTTGTTGTCTCCATGAAGATGTCATTGCATTATCTGGAATGTTCAGCATTATGGCATTCAACTTATCTAGCTTTCATTTATTTAATTACCAATATATTTACTGCTAAGAAATACATCACAAAAGCATGCATGCACACTGTAAGAAAACTCCCCTCACCATGGAGATGAATAGGTTTAATGCCATATTGTGAAACATCTCCATGTAGACAAGCAGGTGGTGGACCCTCCAATAGAAATGTTACATTGCCTATCTTTAATAATGACAGTTTTTTAATGATTGCTCCGGGTCACTACTGAAAAAACAAATTAACTAAATAATTCTAATTGTCAAATATACACACAGAACTTTTACGTACAATAATGTGTTACTGTAAAATGTAAGGGGCGCTGCAGAGAGAAAAATGAGACAAAACCTGTGACCTTACAAGACTTCAGCTTTTTAACTTGCATGATAACTTCACATCTGTCAAATCTCCACAAAAAACACACGCTGTTATCGTCTCACTATATCAAGCTGGGGGTGTACTACATGCATCTCTATAGAGGATCAACAGATACCATGGTGACACAGTGCACACCAAAAAGTTTTTTGTCTGAAAACTCAAGAAGAAGTACTAAATTTACTTAAACAACAACATTTCCAGAAGCCTGTGATCAATATGAGCTTTAATGCCAGCTAGCTTGTGACTGTAATTGTGTGAGACTTGTTTAACAGCACAAGTCAGCTCAACTGTCGTAGTTCCAGTAAGTCTGTTCTTTCAGACTGTGTTAAAATGAAGCTCAGATAGCCTCAGGGAGATTAGTGCTTGCAGTTAGCATCACACACCCATGGAATATTAATGACATCAAGTATCAAATATGGATCTAGAAATAGTGACAGAAAACAAATGGTCTGAGTGCAGGGACAGGTTTAGACTAGTTCTGCCAATGGAGGAGCAGGAGTCTGTTTATGAACACTATTGTTTCAGTTAAACATCCACTTCCTGCTCAGATTCCTCAGAAGTGTTTGTCCTGGTTTATCATTCATAATAAATATGACGTCAACTGTTCAAATATTTATGTTATATGAACATACATTTTAAAGGTGCACTATGTAACTATTTTGGTAGGATTACATCACTTTCTTGTCTTCATGGAGATCATTTTGCCTTGCCTGGTATGTTAGACAGTTTGACATTAAACCATTAACTATCTTTTTTATTCATTACACCTGTTTTAATGCTCAAAAATACATTGAACTGGTGATGTCACCAGCTTATCTCTACGGAGACAGATAAGTTTAATGGCACACTTGAACATTCCAGACAGCACAATTTCTTCATCATGGAGAACACTATTCACCAGGAAAGTTACATAGGTCTATGTAGGTCATCCTAAAATCTATTATCTGCAGTATTATTTCCATAGTATTAAAGGGTACATATGACACTATTTTCTGATCTATGCTGTAATGCTGTTTCCCCATCAAAAACATACACAGAGTTGTGTTTTGCTTAATTCACACATTTAACACTCAAATCTTGCATTCTTAGGACTTCTTCTCTCGAACAGAAAACTTTCTGTTCCCCCTTGTGATGTCATGTGGTAATATGGGAAGTGCTCCACTGTGTTTTTAAACTCCATACAGCTTCATTAGAATCATTTAGATGATTGGATGATTTCAGAATCAGGCCTGGAAGTGCCAATCTCACTGCCAACATCATAAGGCGATGAAGATGTAGACCCATAATAAAGGATTACTCAAACATGTGTGAATGAAACAAAGCACAATTCTAATGTATGTTTTTGAGGATATAACAACACTATAACATGGCTAAAATGTCACAAGAATCAATTTAGTTGAATAGGCCTGTAGGACCTTTGAAAGGCAAAATGTGACATAATATATATTTTTATTGACTTTGTATTGCAGTAGTGATGGACACACAGCTTTTATTTCAACATATTATTTTTGTGTGCATTTCAGAGGGGGAGCAGGAAGAGGCGTGGCTCGTGGAGGCGGGACTTGCTCGACTGTTTGATGACTCCGCCCCCCACGATCAAGAGCAGGTGCCAATCAAACCACGTTTTAATCAGAGCTGATAGATTTCTGTGTGTGTGCGCTACGCTGTGTGAATGAATTTTACTGTTCAATATTTGGTCTTGTTGACATAGTCACTGTATTTATTAATGATTTTAACATTTACTAGTGGAACCTTGATCTGTTTAAATCCCTCCTTCAGACTGGTGTTGGAAATTAGTCTATGCTATAAACACTGTGATGGTCGTATTAGATTACTTCATGTTAATCTATGTTTGTTGGAGCTGTCCCTATTCAAATAAACAATACATAATTAAATATCTCCATTATGTTCATAATAGCCTAACCCTGATTCCCCAGCAGTGTGTGAGAAGGGAAAGAGTCACCCTGCGTTCGATTATTTTCCGACTCCCACTTGGACCTTGGATTTGACATCACATCTGAACTTGAAGCGTATTATTATGTTTCGTGTGTCAGACTATGTGGATTATGATTATGACTATTCCCTCATTTTATGAAAACGCTGCCACTTTAATTAATTTACTTTTTGAAATTTGCTCTTCATTTTATGTTATGACTTCTCTTCCATTGCAACCTTAGGGACGTTAACGCCCATTAAATGAAGTATTTGGTCAATATTGGCCACACCACAACACCAACTACCAAACCCACAGGCAGCGATACGGAAGCGGTAAGGTATTGCGACTATATATATATGTATATGTATATGCATATATGTATATATATGACTGACTGAATCTGTAATTTAAACCACCAAAGTGTCCAAACACAATGAAAACAGTTCATATTTACATATCACAGTGGGAAGGGCCGTCTTGGTTTCTGACTTGGAATCCTTGCTCGGCCTATTTTTTCCGCCACTGAGGTTGGAGTCGCACCATCCCAGGAAAAGGGGTGTTTGCATGTCGCTAGGCAACTTCCTCAGAAAATCGATTCAGAAGGATAATCGAACGCAGGGTATGTGCCATAGACTGTGTGTGGGCTGTAAGTGAACTGTGATGTCACTCCGGGCGTTCTGCTCCAGCCAAATGAAGCTCCTTGAGGTTAGCAGTTATGGGGCAAATTTGTAGATGAGTTCCACTGTTTAAGCAGGGAGCAGACACTTAGCAACACTGTTAATCAAACCTGTTGCTAACGCTGATTTGTCTGTTAATAATGATTATAATGACTTTAAAGTTTTGTTTTTTTCTTCTAAATTTCAATCATGTGAATCTGTTGGATCAGTCCCTTTGTCTCCGTTAACCCTCCTTGTGCCTCCTGCAGGACGAGGACAGTGCTGCGTTCCTGTCCACTCTGACACGCTCTCAGGCTGCAGCCATAGAGCGACGCGTGGCCCAGACTCTGAGGAGGAGGAACAGACAGCATGTACCTGATGTGAGGGACATCTTCAGACCTCCAGAACAACACGAAAAGGTAAGAGCCCAAAACATCAAAATCTCGTATATTTAGAAAAGGTAAAGTTAGACGTATATGAGACAAAAACCCTATTCTCTCCCATATTTAGGCCACCTGCTAGTTGCTGTTTGCATTACAATGACAGCAAAACTCCACTCCAGTTTCAGTTTAAAAAGAATTAGTTCTGTTTTTTAAAACTGTAAAAATTGAAGATCATATATTAAAGATTTAAATTATGTTATGATGCGCTTACCTCCTCAGAAACCTCAAATACCTGGAGTTGTGTTTTGTTTCATTCACATGTTTGAGTACGCCTTTATTATTAGTCTGTCTACGTCTCCAAAGCTCAGAATGCTCTGTTCCACCTTGTGATGTAAACAAGCTGTATTTTTCAAGTTAACAGCTGCCTTTTAACCTTTTGTTCAGTAGAGATTGGAAATTCATGCGCTGAAATTATCCAAATGAAGGTGTATGGAGTTTAAAAACACAGTGGAGCACTTCCTGTACTACCACATGACATCACAAGGCAGAACAGTGTTGTTTTTCTTCATGGCTGGTCATGAACACTATAAAAACAATTATCTGTTTGTTTGTTTCGTGAGAAGTGCAGTGGCTCTAAACTTCTGTCTGGTCACTGATTAAAATGTAACTTCATCTAAATTAACTGGAATTCCCCGTCTGTGTAAACAAAGCTTTTCCCTAATATGAGATTATTAAAAACAGAGATTATGCTGTCTGTTCTATTAAAATGATATAACGGGAAGAGGATGCTACGACTTACACTGCAAAAATTATGCAATCCAAACTGGTGATCAGTCAAATGTTAAAAATTCAGACACAACACATGACAATAAAAATACTTGAGTGGACACAATTAACAAATCATAAAGGCTGCAGTGTTTTTGTACAATAACAGACAGCAAAACATCTTATTCTACATAAAAGCTGCTAACCCTGTAGTTTAGATCTGTACAAGCATGTTCTGAAATGTGATTCTTGTATTAGTTTCTCAGTACACATTTCAGTCTTTCCGTCAATTCTTATGGATCTGTTGTGAATGTGAAGGTTCAACAGAATCACAATGCTTGTTTACAGGGCTGCATCCTGGTTTTTGGTCCTGTCCACATCTACTCCATGTTTAGTCCCAGTTGTGATGCTTGAATTTTGTGTTTTTAAGGAGTTGGTGAAGACGAGTGAAGTGAATGGAGAGAGTGATAAAGAGAAGAAAGACGTCTCCTCTACCACTGGTACATCATACACACGCATTAAAGGGCCCATATTACGCTAAATTGACTCTTGTGAGCTTTTAACCATGTTTTACCTGTACCTGTAGTGTTTTTCATTCACACATGTTTGAGTAATTCTTTATTATTAGTTTCTCCAAAGCTCAAAATGCTTGTGATGTCATGAAATAGTAGTAGAGATTGGCAATTCCAAGACTGAAGGGGGAGTGACTTAGCATGGAGAGCAAAGGGAGGGGGCATCAAAAAACAAAACTGAAACAAATTAAACATGTTCATACATTATTTACAGCAAATATAGCAATTCAAAACAAAAAAAAGGATGATCTAAATCAGAGGTGTCAAACTCAAATTCACAGAGGGCCAAAATTAAAAACTGCGCCAAACTAAATGTTGAAAGAAAAATTTCAACAACATCTGCATGTCTTCTTTCAAGATATGTAATGTTAAACAATATCTTATTAAATTTAACATTTAATAATAGTTTTGCTTTAACATTGAATCCAGAACAAGCATAATATAAAATAATAACAACATTTGAAATAAATAATGTCTCTATAGTCTGTCTGTAGCCGGCGGGTCTGACATGTCTGATCTAAATGATGATCTAAATATGTTATGTTAGTAATTATACATGCAGCCATAAAGTGGAACTTTCCAAGCAAAGAAATAACATCACCATGGAGACAAATAGGTGGTATAGCAAAATGTTCCATAGTGATTCTTTACCACTCACATTCAGACAAAAATACATTGTTTGTCATTGTGGCATATTCTCTCCTGTAGCTTAGATTGCCTTGACTCATTGTCTGAATCATTGTTTGAAGGAGATGGTCTATAAAGAGACAGAGGAGCTCATTCTCCAACAGGCTCCTACAGCTCTGCTCAAACAGAGAGAGATACAGGACAACATTCATACCATACTCAAAACAACTGTACAACTCACCCTTATGCAACAGATAATACTCCCTACAACTGTACAACAACTCACCCTTATGCAACAGATAATACTCCCTACAACTGTACAACAACTCACCCTTATGCAACAGATAATACTCCCTACAACTGTACAACAACTCACTCTTATCCAACCCAATCCACTTTATTTCTATAGCACATTTCACAAACAAACAGTTTCCAAAGTGCTGCGCAAATACATAATAATAACAACAATAATAAAATTATAAAATAAACTACTAAAATAATCATACTAATCTTAAAATAATAAAACCAGTAAAGTAAGAGCAAAATCATAGAATAGCAATAAATAAGCCAATAAAAATACATTAAAAAAAAAAAAGTTACTTATGTAACAGATAATACTCCCTACAACTGGACAACAACTCACCTTTTTGTAACAGATAATACTCCCTACAACTGGACAACAACTCACCTTTATGTAACAGATAATACTCCCTACAACTGGACAACAGCACATTCTTATGTAACAGATAATACTCCCTACAACTGTACAACAACTCACCTTTATGTAACAGATAATACTCCCTACAACTGGACAACAGCACACTCTTATGTAACAGGTAATACTCCCTACAACTGTACAACAACTCATCTTTATGTAATAGATAACCCTGTGTCATGTGCATCGCTATTTCATCTTTACATTGTTTCTCCTTATGATCTCTTGTATATGGCCCAGATAATTTTTTTTTACTATATTCCTATATTTTTATTTTTCTTGTACATATACAAAACTTATGTCTTATTTGACACCAGCCCCTTGCTACTTTTGCTACTTATTTTGTATGTATTATTGCCATTTATATAGGTGCTTGTTGTTATTACTGTGTCCAAGTAATTTCCCATGTGGATCAGTAAAGTTGATCTAAGTCTTAAGTCTAGATGGCTGTCCTGTGGTGGTTGACTGCTTCTGATGGGTAAAATGCAGAGCAAATATCACCCTACATGGACAGAGTAATGGCAACAGTAATGACCCTGACTGTGTGTAACTTAATTTTTATAGTGCAGTTGTTGCTAAAAGCTAAAAGCTGTCATCCATCTAATAGTGTCAAAACCACTTTAAACTCTCCTGGCTCCTGTGATGGTTCATGACTCAGACTCGGAGGAATGATCAGAATGAAAACTGTGTAAACTCTGTTTATAAACCAAAATGTTTTTCCCAACACTTTTAAAGAAGGCCTATTGAACATTTTAAAACATTTTATTCCCTGGGGTTGCAATGCAAACTGAAGGCATACCCTGTTTGAGGTTTTGTTGGTCATTGTTCTGAGCTTTATTTTAACACAATCTGACCAGAAACAACTGACTTAGGTGGGACTACAACAGGTGAGCACCTTTTTTGCTTTGAAATCAAACATCTAAACAGGCTCATGAAACTTGTGTTGTTTAAATTTGTTTAGTAGGCTATTTTTTCTTAAAACTTTTTTGGCAGTACTAATGTGTGCATTGTGTCACCATAACTGCTGAACATTTTGCATACACATTACATGCCCTGGCCTGATGTCCTTTTTTTTTTTTCTTTACTGAGAATGACATAAGAACAGAGCAAAGGGCGTGTTAATGGTGGCAGTGAGAACAGGGGTGGACCGGAGCAATGACATCTTCAATACACTACAAATAAAGATGACTCAAACATGCATGAATCACTCTAAATATAACTGCACAGGGTAAATTAGATGGAAACAACTATAACATGGTTAAAGTGATAATATATAACATTCTGGAGGTCATCTGCATCATGAGTTTGAGCCAAAGGAACAACATTTCCATTTAAACAAGTAGGAGGAGGCCCAGGTTTGTGGAGATACAAGCCTGACTCTTTTCACTGTAAGGACACCTGCAATAAAAACATCCATTATGAAAAAACATGTTTTTATTTTAGCCTATTTTGGGGGAAAAAACTTAAAGGATATATTCTTTTAAACAACCCTGGCCTCGCAGATGTCACATAACTCAGACTGAAATTATCAGAATCAGAACAGTTTGTGTATTTCCAAACACTTCTAACACTACTCATCTTCTTTTTTTTCCTTGTTGTTTTTCAGAGGCTGACACAGAGCTGAATGTTGAAGTGGCCTTTTCTGAACAGGCTTTAAACTACAAAGAGAACCACCAAGGCCCCATACAGAGAAACAGCATCCACGCAGATGACAAACTACCAGTGAGTATACAAGATTCACTCCAAATAATCAGTGGTGGAAGTATTCAGTTTTATCACTTAAGTAAAAGTACAAGTACCGGAACAAAAAAAACAAAAAAAATCTAATAAAAAAGTCAAATAAAATTGTAAACTAAAAGTATCACATGACAAAATCTAATCAAATATATTAAAGTACCTTTTTTTAAAAAAAAATACTTAAGATTTTGAGGTCTTATGAAGATTAAAAAGTATTGATTTTGATTTTTTTTTTTTTTTTTAAAGAAAAAAATTGAAAAATTTTATTCATTTCATTTATTCTTTTTTTCTAGTTTTTTTAATTTGTATATTTTTGGTTTGCTAAAAATATGAATGTGTTAAAAATAAACCCTCAGGTCTTAGAGAATTTTATATATATAAAAAAGTGTCCACTTTTAAATCTGCTTAAGTAAAGTACAGAAACCTAAGATTTATACTTAAATACAGTAGCCTTCTTTACTACCTTTGCTTCACTTATGTTCCACCTCTGGTTAAAATGAAAGTGTGTGTTGTAATACTGCAAATTCTTAGGTCTAGTTTCTAATAGAAATGATCAGATTCAAAATTTGTGGATTTGCCTTTTGTTTATTGACAAAGAACAATGTAATGAATAATAAAATGATGACCAAGCTCTGAATAATTAGTTAAATAATGTATGTACATAATTATCTTAATGTTAGGTTTGTACTTGAGGTTAATAAGTGTAAAATATTAACTTGGTCCGTTGTTTTGGTGCACTTGACACCTGTTAACCTGCTCAGAATCTATTTTTAGCTCCGTGTAGTGTTTATGCAAAATAAATGAGTGTGTATGCGTGTGTATGTGTGTCGCTCTGTGGTGACATCTAGTGGTGAGAAATATATAACTTCTGCAAAAGTTTCTGAATGAACTTTTTTTTTTCTTTTTTTTTTTTTTTTTCAGAATTTCAAGTTACTTCGAGATAAAACGGGCCAGACCAGAATTGGAGACTTATCACCACAGGATATGAAAAAGGTAGAGTTCTTTTTGTATTATTTTTGGTTTGATTCCCAGTACATAGGAATGCAGTATCTGTGTCGTTGAGCAAGAGCACAAACTTTGCCTGATTTAAAGCTGTTTTGTAACCTTTTTACTAAAATAGACTTGGGTTGTGTTTACTGCACTCAAAACTTTGAAAAACATGTGACTGTGAGCAGGCTTGCATCGCCACAAACCTGACTTGCTGTTTCCATGAAAATGTTGTTGATATTATGTAAAATAAACTTTTTAAAAACGTTTTACCATGAGGATGAGTTGAATTGAGGAGTAAGTAATGTACCAAATTCTAAAGCAGTTAGAATTTAAAAGACACTCTAGAAACATGCTTTATAAAACTAATATATTAATCACAACTATTTTAATTATTAAACATTATATTTGTTATTTCCTTCTCCTCAGGTGCAGCGCTTGGTTCTGGTGGAGATGACGGCTCTGTTTGACACAGCAGGGATCGACATCAAGGCTCAGAAGCCAGTTAAGATCAGGGCAAGAGGTAAACAAACATACCCCATTCAATACATACATATGATTTGCACATACACTGAAATAAAAAATAAATTGCATATTTTTTCCTCCATTCAGAAAGCGGACTGTTCGGAGTCCCTCTCATTACTTTACTGGAGCAGGACCAAAAGAGGATCCCAGGAACCAAAGTGCCAATCATCCTACAGAGAGTAAGGCCTGAACTGAACTGTCGGCATTACAAGTTTAAAGCAGACCTATTCTGCAAAATCAACTTCTCAGAGCTTTTAATTATCTTATTGTTTCTTCCTCATTTACCCTCTTGAAGTTGCAATTTGAGCAATCTTTAATTGCTTGTTTCTTGTTTCTTTTATTAAGTATTTTTAGATGAATATTGCAATTAAAATGGCCAAGATAAAACATACAGATCCCCAGGAGTTACAGATTATAACTATGTTTTGGCACATATGAATAATGCTTTACACTTTGCACTTTGTCCTTTGGGTCCAAATTTGATTCAGTCTTTGAGGACCATAGCAGTTCATTTTCTTGTTCTCTCTTAAAAAAACAAAAAAATTATTACAATTACAACTGACCCTGATTTGCCTGAAGACATATACAGGTTTTTCTCATTTTCAGCTGCTTTCTGATTGGATAATCTTATTAGGTAATATATTAGTTGTGTATGAAATTTGAAATGCAATATATGCTACACTCTCCCTATATGGATAAGAGCAATGTGCGACACTCAGATTAACAAATTTAAAAACATAAATAAGGGAGAATAGACAGATTTGAGTGAAAATTACGGTATGTTAAATTTAAATTTCTTCTTTATTTTCTCATAAACTCTGTGTTGTCTTTGAGCAGCTGATCAGTCACATCGAGGAGGAGGGTCTCGACACCGAGGGACTGCTCAGGATCCCAGGAGCCGCCACAAGGGTCAAGGTCAGTCCTGGTTTAGTCCTGATTTAATCCTGGTGTAGTCCTGATTCAGTCCTTGTGTAGACCTGGTTTAGTCCTTGTGTAGTCCTGATTCAGTCCTTGTGTAGACCTGGTTTAGTCCTTGTGTAGTTCTGATTCAGTCCTGGTTCAGTCCTGGTTCTAACCCTTCTGTCTCCCCAGGCTTTGTGCCAGGATCTGGAGTCCTCCTTCTACGATGGCCGTTTTTCCTGGGGTCAGTTAAAGCAGCATGACGCGGCCAGTTTATTAAAGCTGCTGATCAGAGAACTGCCCCTCCCCCTGCTCAGCGTGGAGCACCTCAACGCCTTCATCGCCGTCAACAGTCAGTTTATTTACTCATCATTATTATTTATTTATTGACTTATTATTTATAATTCTGTTTATTATTTATATATATTATTATTTGTATTTATTATTTTATTTGTTGTTTAATTAAATCATCACATCATAGAATCCCTATAGTTTAAATTGAGCTGAAGGACAGTCCTGGTTCAGTCCTACTTTAGTCCTGGTTCAGTCATGGTTTGGTCCTAGTTTAATCCTGGTTATAGTCAATCAATTCAAACATTATAAAACAAAATATTTCATTGTTTTATGTTTGTCCAGAGCTTCCCACTAAAAAGCAGCAGCTACAAGCTCTGAATCTCCTGGTGCTGCTGCTGCCAGAGCCCAACAGAGACACACTCAAGGTCAGAATCTACTCTACTGTACTCATGTTTAGAGGATCCATATCACACTCTCTTCTGATCTATGTTATAATGTTGTTTCCTCATCAAAAACATACCTGGAGTTGTGTTTTGTTTCATTCACACATGTGTAGAATTCCTCAAATATAATATTTTGGACTGTGCAATGATGGGAACTGTGCAATGAATGAAGTGTATATTTTATTGTTTGGCCCCCTGTGATCCCAGCCCCTTGGGACAATGGATGGAAATTAGCCTTATGCTACAATCCGGTGTGTTTACATTCATGTTGTGTCATGTTTGTTCATTAACATGCTCTGTCCCAACCAAATAAATAAATAAATTATCCAGATAGAATCCATAGCAGAAGAGAAATTTAATTTGTCACTCACTCAGTACAGATGAATAGGTCTAGCTAACTAACATAAACTGTAAACAAATAGGGTGTTATTTTCAGAGTAGTTTCAGTGTAGTTCCTCCTCCCTGCAGGCAGATATAAGGATCCACCAGCATTCTGCCCAGAAATAAAGAAGCAGCTTGGATGAGGTGCGAAATGTTTTCAACCTAAATAAACATTTGTCCAGTTGACAAATTGAATTTCTCCTTTACCATTCATTCACACAAACCCTGCCTATTTAACCTGTGTTCTTGTCTCAAACTGAAAACACTCTGTCCTACCTTGTCATGTCATGTGGTAATACAGGAAGGGCTCCACTGTGTTTTTATACTCCATACACCTTCACTAGAATAATTTGGATGATTTTAACCCTGGAATTTAATCTCGACTGAAATGAAAATAAAAGGAGCAAAACAGAGCATTATGTTATATAACAGTTGAGATGCAGACAGACTAATAATAAAGGATTACTCAAACGTGTGAATGAAACAACACTCCAGACATGTTTTTGATGGGGTAACAACATTATAACATGGCTTAAAGCTCACTAGAGTCCATTTTGTGTAATATAGGCCCTTTAACTGTAAATACTCCTCATGTTTTCTTCCAGGCTCTGGTGGAGTTTTTCCGTCGTGTCATCGAGCATCAAACCCAAAACCGCATGACCCTGAACAATGTGTCCGTCGTCATGGCGCCCAACCTCTTCATGTTCAAAGGTCAAAGGGCAAAGGTCACGCAGCAGCAGGAGGTTGCCATGGCAACCAGCACCGCTAACATTGTGCGACTGCTGATCCGCTACCAGGACCTTCTCTGGACTGTAAGGACACACACAGGGACCATAGCTAAATTTAAAGTGCCCATGACATGTCAGACTACTAATTTTACTAAAACACAGTTAAGATTTTTATATTTACAATTATGCTAAGAATTTTATTTTATTTTTCCCTAGTTTGGCCATTTTTTAGGTTTAAAATTTTACTTCCTGATTGGAAATTATAACATCATACTAAGGAATGTCTTGATTTTTATCTAGCATGATGTGGATGTATAATGGGCCAAAACCCGTCTAATGTACACAGATTATTTTTTGACAAATAAAAATGTAAATTATGTGACATTTATTTTGTTGAAATAAGTATCAGAAAAATGTGTTTATTTGTGAAAAATATGCCTCAATTTTGAACAGAATTTCCTCGTGTGATCATCAATATGGACCTCTCTAAAATAGAACTTTCCACTTCCTGTAAATTGTTGAACTTATCTTCACAAATTGCTTCTTGATTAGTGCAAAACTATAATTTATATTTACAGTAGGTTTTATTCCACCAAATTAAGTCAATATTAGATAATCATACGCACTTAAATATTTCAAAACCAAATGTTTTATCTTTCGAGTGGGTCAAAGTACAGTACCCAAAATGTGGTGTTACAGGGAACTGAAACCGGTGAGTTTTTTTACAGGAAGACAGGCAAACCGCTGTGGTTCTTGGCAGACCAAAACCTTGCTGTACTCAGATGTGATGAAATAATATGTGATCCTGTTTTGAACGTGTAAAATGTAATTTCACTCATATGCAACTCTTTGGACTTCTATTGGTCAGCCTGTCATGCCGTAAGTGAGGGAAAGTGAACAGTGAAAAATTGTGTTGTCACCGAACTTTCAGTTAGCCTAATGTTTGTCCACAACCCTTTTGTTTACTTTTAACAAATGGGTATTATGCAAAATGTATTTATCTTTAAGCTTTTTTGATACATCTGGAGTTTGCATGTTCTCCCTTTGTCTTGTTTTAAGTGTATTTTTCATGTATTCTGCAGATTCCAAAGTTCATCCTGACGCAGGTCCGTCAGCAGAACATGGAGAGTCAGAGGAAACAGAACAAAGAGCGTGCAGTCAGGAAACTGCTCAAGAAGATCACCACTGACAAGCAGCCGGAGAAGAGTGCTCCAGAGGTGAGGAGGGGAAACTGCAAAAAAAGTCTGAATAAACAGAAGAGACAATAAATCTATAAGTGCATGCCAGAGGTGAGGTGTGTCTAAAGGCAGGACATGCTTCCTTGTTTCCATGGCCAGTCCAGTCCACACACTTTTTAAGATACTTGCTTTATCCAAGATTTTTTGATGGAGCTGATTGACAGGCGGATTAACAAGAACACAGAAATAAATGGTCCATTTGTCCAAACTTATAAATAAGAAATAAGACAGAAAAATATGAGCACAGAGGACTAAGAAACACCGTGGCTTTCTGTAGAATCAGCATTCAAAACTTACATGTGAGGTTTTCAAATTTTCGAGAGATGTCTTCTGCATTTGACAGACATGTGTAACAAATAACGATATGTGACTGAACTCCCTGAAATGTGTGACTCTGCATTCACCAAGTGAAAGAGTCAGTTACCTGTGGACCTGACTGAAAATATTCAATTATTTCTTATTAGCTCCGGAGGGAGACAGACTATGAATGAAACAAAAAAACAACTTGATGAATTCCTAGTTTCTCCTATTATGGTCTGTGTTTAACTCCCTCTTTCTCCTCCTCCTCTTCTCCTTTTCTCCCCTTGCACTCTCTCTCTCCTTCTCTCTCTCTCTGTTTATCCCCAGGAGAGTTCTCAGGGCTTCATCCGTGTTCAGGCTCCTCAGTTCAGTAAAGTGTCGATGGCGGTGCAGCTCACAGAGGACCTGCAGGCTGCAGACGTGCTCTCACGATTCCTCAGCCAAGACAGGTACTTCTGTTATAATAATACACTTTATTTATATAGGACTTTTCAGGAAAAATATTAAAACATGTTATGAACAAGTCGACAAACTGGCACATTATTTACTGAAATTGTTTACTCATAGTAATAATCTGTGTAAAAGTTCTTCTTATATTACTCTCTAATGCTCTGTTTTTTCTTCAGTTCAGTGTCTGTGAAAAGGGATGAGCTCTGTTTATATGAAATCGGAGGCAACATCAGTGAGTATTTCCTGTTCATTAGTGACCAGGATTAGTTTAAACTCGGGCCGAACGAATAAATTTGATTAATTTTAATTTGATAAATTTTTAATCAAGATTATGAAGATTGTGAAAATCGTGAAAATTGAGGATTTTTATGAAACAAGTTTACTTCTGACTTTCGTACTTTCAAAGCAGAGTTATGATGTAATTACAGTTACGCATCTATTATACAAATGTAATTGAAAGCGGTTTACAAGTTATTAAATAACAGGATATGAAAAGAATGAGAACGTAAAGAGCTTCCCCTGTTTGAAAGACAGGTGTAACCCAGTGGCATTAAATGGGTCAAATACAGAGAACAAATTCTTAATAAAAGCCTATTGAACTCTGACCTGTGCTTCCTGTATTTCTTCCCCAGAGGAGCGGTGTCTAGACGGGGAGACCTACATGAAGGACCTGTTCCAGTTGAATCCTGCAGCAGAGTGGGTGATCCGTGTGGTCCAGCGATGATCCCTGCTCTCACCTCTGTACCTGTGTAGTTTTAAATACCTTCTCATTCAAAGGGAAACATGCTGCCTCTTCTCTCAAACGGACACACACGTTTTTAACCCGATTAAAGTCTTGGCACTGGTTGTCAATGGCTTATTATTATATATATATTTTTTTACATTTTTTAAAGGTGCTGTACCTGATTTTTACTGTCTTAAAAACAGATCTAGTTCATTTTAAACATTTTTCAATGGTTCCTCATTTACATTATGCATTTAGAGCATCCAGTTATTCACCATGATGAGGTAAGTTTCACAGCTCTCAGAGACTAGAGTGGACGATTGCTGTCAGAGTAATGCTAGCAACTAGCATGCCAACATCAAACTTCCTGTTTATCAGTCAATAAAACACTTTTTAATTGGATACAGACAGCTCACAGTGGACTAATTTTGACTTCAGGAGCTGCTTTTACAATGAATATGTATATACTTTTGCTCAAATATATGGAAGAAAATCAGGTACAGGCCCTTTAATGTAATGCCTTACTACCACCTTTAACCTTTTCAGCCTTACTGTACATAGGTGCGTGGTGGAAGAGTAGTTAGCACTTCAGCCTTACAGCAGAAAGGTCCCTAGTTCAATATATAATAGGTTGTGTTCACATGATATCAGCACATTGTAGAATCCCTGTAGTTTAAAGGGGCACTATGTAACTTCTATGGGTCCGCTTCTTGCTTGATCCATTGAGATGTTATTTCTGTGCCTGGAATGTCTTCTAGCTTAAAAATACCTTTAAAAACATGAACTCTTACCATATGCAGACTCGCTTTTCCATAGGTCTGACGATTAACCTGTCTCCATTGTGATTACCAAGTTTATTTTCATACTGTGGAATAATCAAGGCAAAACAGTAATGTCTCCACCGTAACAAGAAGGTTTCAGAACCTTTCAGAGAAAAGTTACATAGTGCACCTTTATTAACACTTCAGAGAATGAAGGCTACTGATACTAAGATCATGCCTTTTTTTCCAAATTAATTCATTTATATGGAGCAAAAATTCAAACCACTGTCTTGTATTCATCAATGACACATGTAATGCACTGTGATTTAAGTCCAATTATCATTTTGTTCCTGTAACCACTGATTAAGTCTGATATTTCTGTATTTATTTCCTAATGAAGTGTTAAAGCTGCTCATGTGATTTCTGTTGAGTCACAACTTTAAATATGTTTTTGACAATCATGGTCTGAACTAAACCACAGCACAATGACAACTCTGCAGGTCAATGTTTGAGTTGTGGGAACTTTTTCAGGAGACCTAAAATATATGGTGAAGAAATTTGGTTGCCTTTTAGACTTTTATTTCACTAGAAAATGAAATTTTGAATGAAACAAAACACAACTCCAGGTATGTTTTGATGAGGAAACTACATTATAACATAGATCAGAAAATATCATATGGGCACTTTAAATACAACTCAAATCAAGATTAATATGCTGAATTAAAGTCATTTACACAGAAACACAGATTATTTTTTTTACAGTGTGGTCTTTTGTTTTCATTATTTTGATAAAGTTGTATTTTGAGTATTGCTGATCGTGAACAGGCCTGTGAGATTCATTGTAACTGTGAATGAAACTTTGGGATGATATTTTTTTGTGTTTTGCCTTTGAGATGATAACCACTAAAATATGTACATTATGTAAATAAATTCTTTTGATTGTTTGTGACAGAGTGTATTTTAATATTTCAACCACAAATATTGGATTTTATTAAAGTAGATGCTATCTATGTTAGTTAGTGTCTGACATTGTGCCAGCTTTGGTCTGACAGAAAACAGAGAGCAGGTGAGTTTGAACAGAGGCCAGGTAAGGGGAGGGGCCTAGGGACTGGGGAGGGGCTTGGATGTTTTCAGCCCTGGAATTTCTAAACACTACAGAACAAAGGATTTTAGGTAGCAGTTAACTTAAACTACTGCCTCATGACATCACAAGGTGGAACAGAGCATTTTGAGTTTGGGGGATGTAGACAGACTGACAAACCAGGATTTTTCAAACGTGTGAATGAAACACATGTGAAACATGTTTTTAATGAGGTAACAATATTATAAAACATCTTAAAAGCTCACAAGAGTCCGTTTAGTGTATTACTGGACCATTAAGCTAAGTGCGGTGTTCTGATTACATTTGAATTTATATATGTAGAAATTAGTTAACAGTGATGACATTACATTCACTTAAGTACACCTAAATTGCATTTATGATATAACATTCTTAATGTAATACTTAATATAATAAAATTTAATTAGGCTACTTAAGTATTTTTGAAATAGATAGATTAGAGAGCTTTCTGAAAAGCTTTGAACTATGAAAATTATCATTGTTTTTAGGCTTTATATAAAATATAAAATCTTTACAGAAATCATGATACCATAAATCAATGGCTGCATTTATACTCAGAGCTCATTTAGGAAATAATTGACTTTTAAAAAACAGTGTAGTTTGGACTGATAATTCCCTCTACTGCAATATTATTTTGAAGAAACAGTTAAAGAGGGAAAATTTTGCAAAGTCGACTTCATGCCACTTTGTAACATTTTTCCTCATCAAAAATATGACAGTTCTACATAAATATAGATAAACATCACCCAATAGCTTACAATAGCTATTGTTACAACAATAGCTTTACAAACCTGGATGTGCACTATTTTCATTAATGCAGATTGTAATATGACATCGCATTTAGTAAGGTGGAGTTCTCACTAAGAGCGTCAAAAAAGAAAGTAAAACTTAGGCAATAAAACATGTTAAGGTAAAATGGTGTTCTAAATATGTTGTGTAAGCAGCAGTTAATACCACATTAAATAGCCCCTCTTTAAGCTGATAATCTGTTGAGTCAATGCAACTGCACTACTTTATGTTAATTATTTCATTTAGGGGAATTTATGTATTAATTTTTATCATTCTTGTTTTCTTTACTGAATAACACTCTCTTAAAAACATCTCCAGACTCAGAACTGTAATATTAAAGATTACCTCATTTCTGTGTTTTGATGTCGTGGACCTGCAAATAATTGTGGACGTCTCTGACTGGCTGGCTTCTGTTTGCTCGAATCCCATTGGCTGTCTAGGGACAAACCCGCTGTCTGATTGGTGGAAAACACAAGGCCCGGAAGTGTCTGTCAGAACCGTAGTAAAGCAGCTAACTCGCAATTATATCACATTAGATCCAACATTTTTGCCTTTTACTACTTTTTCTAATAACCAGCAATCATCGGATCCGCTCGTCTTTTGTTTCGCTTCTGTAAACACACGGATTTTGTTGTTTTTCTGCGCTGTTTGTGAAGCTGTCTGACATTTAGCTTGTTAGCATTTGAGCTAACTGCTGCAAACGAAACAGACATTTTCTTTTCTTTTTTTTTTTTTTTAATTCAACCCCACTTTCTATTGTGCTTTGACTTCATATTTAGACTTATACGTCTTGTTAGTTCGAGGGGGACATGCACGTTTTACAATCCAAGCCTTAAAAGCATTGTTTAGCATGCATTTGTACAAGTTATAACAGTAAAATTGTACTTAGCCGAATGTTGAGCTGCAGTTATTCCAGCAGATCCAGGTAGCAGATTTTTAGTTTTGCAATAATGGGGCATAAACGTGGATTAAAAACGAGTAGGACTTTATTTTATGTGACATTTCTGCTTCTACTCGTCGCCAAAGCAATAACAGCTGGTAAGTTTTAAATCACCAATGCAATGTAAGTAACACCATGTACTTCTGCGCTAACTTTTCATGTTTTTAAGACTTCATAGACACCAATCACGATGGAGAGGAGGAACCCCAGCTCAAGGTGTGTATACATGTGCACTTCCAGATATATATAGACTATTGTGACCAGATTTCCAAAAGCAAAAACTGGGACTCCCTTGGTTTGTGGTGGTTGATAAAAAATAAAACTGTGAAACGAGTGCGTAATTAAGGAAAATAGTTCTGCACTCTGCCCATTCATAGCTAACATGTGAGTCAGTATAGCCACATGTTCTATGTGTTTTGGTCATTTTTAAGCAGCTTTTCTGTAGTTGTCCTCAACAAATGACTATTTATGCCTCTCTTTACTGCTGACAGGTATCAGATTGGCCAAAAATAGTAACAACTTGGGCATTTCTTGCATAAAACTGGGACAAATCAGTGATTTTGGATGAATCAGCCCTGACACAGGGCTCAAAACTGGGACTGTTCCGTGTAAATAGGGATGTCTGGTCACCCTAGTATAGACCTATAAACAATATTTCAGTCAATGATACTACCAGTCAAAAGTTTGGACACACTTCATTTCATTTATGTTTTGTCTTTGCATTGTAGATTCTCACTGAATGCATCAAAACTACGAATGTACACATATGGAATGTATCAAACAAAAGTTGACTCAAAATAATTTAAAACTTGTTTTAGAGTTAGATTTTTTTTAAAATAACCATGCATTACTTTGCTCACTGCTTTGCACTTTTGGTGTTTCTTGACCCTGACATGGCACAGCTGTGAAGTGACAACTATTTCAAGAGATTTCATCATGAAGCTCATTCCACATTCCAAGGGTTTACAGCACTGTCGACAAAGCAGAGGGTGGCACCTCTGAGGATTTTAATTAAGAAAATACAAAAAAATATGTGTTGAGTTATTTCATTTTCCCACATAATTCCTTATGTTGCTAAAATTATTTATAATCTTGTAGGTCTTTTAGCTGGTCCAAATAAGTAATTTGCAACTTGTTATAAGTACTGAAATCCAGATAAATTTAACTAGGAACTATACCTGTGTCTTTTAATCTACTTGTATTTTGAATCTATGTGTTGATCTCTGTGTTGCTTCCTCTGTGACTCAGTCTTACACCGAGGCAAATTCAGAAGAGGAAGATGTCCATGTTCGCTCTGAAATCAGTTCTGAAGCGGGCCCAGAGGCAGAGAAAGCCCCAGAAGAGGAGGGTCTGAGAGGGGAGGAGAAGGAGGATCTGCCCCTACAGCCTCCACCTGTGCAAGACAAGCCCAAAGAAAGTAAGAGCCTCCTCCAAACAGTCAAATGTCAAGTGTCTCTAGTTAATCTGCAGATGTAGTGGTGTGGTTGGATTAAATATAGTGGGAGAATGGACCTTGTTATTAATAGAAATTTAAAAAAGCTACTAATGATAGCAAAGAAAAACAGTCTTTATATAAAGAATTTTAATACCATTATTCAACTGTATTGTAGTTCAAGATAATGATTAATACAACTGGTTCAAGTATCAAGTATTGAAAACCAGGTATTGTTTGAGTACCAATACTGATATAAAGCAGGGCTCAATTCGTGAGAGATGCATAGAAAACTTGTTTATGTTTCAAGATAGAAAATATCTATTCACAGCAGTAGAAAAGTGATGTAACAGTGAGTACAGCAGGTGCAGGGAGCGGTTGGGTTCCCAGGGGGTTTGTCTGTTTCTGTGGCTCTGTTGAGACCACACACTATTCAAACCTTTGGCTCTGAAGCAAAATGGAAACTGTGTGTATCCAGGTCTCAAGGTTCAGTAACATTTAAAATAAATTTCCTTTCTATTAACAGTTATTTCGGTGAAGGATTTATATTTTTTTATATTAATCTGTGATTATGATTGCTTTCACACTGTATTACACAAAATTGACTCTTGTGAGCTTTTAGCCATTTGTTACCTCCTCATAAACATACCCAGAGTTGTGTTTTGTTTCCTTCACACATGTTTGAGTAACCCTTTCTTATTAGTTTGGCTATATCTTCAAAGCTCAAAATGCTCTGTTCTACCTTGTGATGTCATGAAGCGGTAGTTTTCAATGTTAAGAGCTACCTTTACCTTTAGTTCAGCAGACATAGGTAATTCCAGGGCTGAAATGCTTCAAATGGTTATAGTAAAGATGTATGGAGTTTAAAAACACAACCACCTGACATTACAAGGTGTTTTCTGATTGAAAGACAAAATACAACTACAGGCATATTTTTGATAAGGAAACAACGTTAAAACAGAAAATGGTGTAATATGGGCCCTTATATGATATTGTACATTTCTAAAAGTGTTTTGGGGGATAATTATGTTTTAGTAATTTTGTCAGTGTTAGTTATCAGTATTATTGGTTTAAGCAAAATATCATTCTTAAAATTTTGAATCCTGATAGGCCTACTCTTAAATGTTGACTATGCTAAGGCACCTGCAGTTCAGAAGCCATGCCAAGACATGCCTAATTACTATATTTTTTACTGTAAATTTCCTTCATTAACTCATGGTGTGTATTCCTCTGCAGTCCCAGTGGTGAATGGTGGTACTGCACACGGGGAGCCCTGCCTGTTTCCCTTTTACTTCCAGGGAACCGAATACTCTGACTGCACCACAGATGGAAGAGGAGACAGGAGGCTCTGGTGCTCAACTACATACAACTACGACCAGGACAAGAAGTGGGGATTCTGCGAGAGTGAGACATCATTTTTTCACTTTCACACATACACAAGTAGGGGGCACACTTCAGGGGGGTCACAAGTTTCTTGGTATTGATGTGGAGAACTGCTCCATTTTCAGTCTTTTTGGTTTTAGTGTCTATAGAAGCAGTAATTAACTGACGGCAACTTGGTTATTATTTTCTAGAGGGATCTAGGTTGATCTTAAGTTTAGAAGATGAGGCTCACCAAGACGTTGATGGCACAGATTTCCAGCCTTGCTTCCATCAGTCTGCCCCAGGGCAGTGGTGGCTACAATATTAACTTACCACCCTCAAGTGTGGACTGAATGAATAATGTGCACTTCAAGTGTCTTGAAAGGCACTATATAAATCCAGTGCAATCCAGTGTAAATAGAGTTTAATCCTGGATTATACACAGAAACAAGAATGTTTATCCAGAGGATGACCACACCAAGGTTGATTAAAATGTATTACTTCAAACATTCCAACATACATAGTACAAAAAAGTGATGGAAATTAGATAATAATGTTTAAAAGTAAAACTCTGAAATCACTGCACATAAAAATAAAAGTCTAAATCTCATGGTTGTTGTTTCTGTCTCAGCGGAGGAGCAGGCGCAGCAGCGGCTGGAGGCAGAAGAGGCAGAGGAGCAGTACCAGACTGTGGTTCGACTGCTCAATGCCACCACACGCAAGGCCCACAAGAGAGAGTCAGTACTTTATTTTATTATTTATATATAGTTATAAAACACAATTATCTTAAAATAATGAACCATGAACCAATAATGAATAATGAGCCTTTACCAAGTGAACCTTTTTAGAGAGTTGTGTATACTAGGGCTTCTTGTAATTGATATAATCATTATTTGAAACCAGGGCTATACGTTTTCTGACAAACATCTCAATTGTAATTGGATTTGTGATTTATGTTTTAGTAGGCTTCTGTCCAGAAGAATTGGCACAAAAGACAAAGAATCACATTTCAGAACATAAAACAAGTAATGTGAGTGATCAGTGGCTCGTGTAAATGTAAAATCTTCTCCAGGACAAGCAATTAACATTAAATTAGAGCTCAGCCTCTTACTGTCATAGCCAATATGTCACACAGGGTTTGAATGAAATTTCTGAGACATCCTGATGACAAAAATGAAAGTCCATTATTCTTACAACGGGACAGCAACAGGTTTCGGCCATCATCAGGGCATTTTAGAACATGTATGTACAGAGTAAGAAAGGAGATGTTGTCCTGTCCATAACGAAGTTACCGATAAATAAAACATATTATTGTTTCTTTTATTAAGTTGTTTAAGATTAATATTGCCATTTAAAAAGTCCAAAATAAAATGCACCACAAATGATCATTGTCTTCCCTTTTTACCTTTTAAAGTATCTTGTCTCATACTGTGTTCTCTTGTGTATGTTTTTCCAGTCTCTATGAGAAGCTGGTGTCTGTAGCAGAGAAGGGCCACCAGAAGGCTATGGAGAAGGTTGCCTATGCTCTGCTGTTTGGAGACTTCCTGAACCAGAATGTGTCGAAGGCCAAAGACATGTTTGAGAAACTCGCAGTGGAGGGCTCCCCCAAAGCACAGACGGTAAGGACGATTCTCATTATATTTACATTTTAAACTCTTTGTATATTTTGTGGGAAAAGATGTGATACTGAGTGCTGATTATGATACTACAATGTTAATGTGGTAAATTGGAATGTTATTTTCAACACAAAATTGTAATTTCTCTAAAGCTACCTTCTGAACATTTATTTTTTTCTTTTTTCACCAGTAGATGGCAGATGTGAAACCTGTTTTCAGTTCTGATACTTGTTCAAAGTAATTACTTTTGATTCTAGTTTTAGTACTGATTTAAAACTACTTAAATGAATAAATACATACATTATTGTCTACTCCCCCTTTATTATCCTTCTGTATACACTTATTAATGGATGGGACAAGATTTCATACCACAAGATTTCGCAAGACAAAATTTCCATAAGATTGTACACACAAGAGAAAAATAATCTTGGGAGATTTTCGTATGTTCCATTTGAATTAGAATTCAAAATTCTGAACTGGATTGGACAGTTTTATTTATAAATCTTTCAGAGTCTCGTCTTGTTTTCGTGGGAATTGTGTCTCATCTCATCTCTAACACTTACACATTTTATTTAATCCTTTCTTACTTTGCATATGTCTAAAACAACAATTTCATATTGTAGACATATTGCCAGTCTCTTTGTTGTTCTAAATAAGTTTCCTTTTCTTGCTCTCAGGCTCTGGGTTTCTTGTACGCAGCTGGACTCGGGGTGAACTCGAGTCAGGCCAAAGCTTTGGTTTATTACACTTTTGGAGCTCTGGGGGGAAACCTGGTCGCTCATATGATCCTGGTAAGATTATGTTGGATTTGTGAGATGTTTACCTTTTGATCTGAAGGGCAGGTCAGAACTTCCAATAGAAAAATAATTTCTTTAATTTGTCTCCTCTCTTGTTGTGGTCGTCAGGGTTACAGATACTGGGGAGGAGTGGGGGTCCCTCAGAGCTGTGAATCGGCACTGACTCACTACAGACTTGTCGCCAATCAAGGTAATATTTCTTTATTTGATACCACTTGAAAGAAAGTTGAATAAGTAGAATTTTAAAAACATCTATAACAAACCCATAGTGACGTTATATATATTCTGCCGTGGGCTGACGTTTTTTGGAAAAATATGTAATTGCAAGTTATGTGATTTTAATATCGATTTCAAGCTTTTAAACACACTGAGAAGCATAATATGTGAGAGAAGACCAGAATCTGAAATACTAAACTAATCCAAGAATCCTATGCATTTCACAACATGTTTGTAGTGGTCGAAACTACAGGGTTACACAGAATAACACCTCATGGAAACAGAGGAAGGGCATCTGACACACAGGGACCAAGTTTGTAAAGGTTTAAACTACCGGGTTAGCAGGTTTTACACAGAATAAGACCCCATGGGGTTCAGTTAAATCTAAAACATTAGAATATTATCTGAATAAGTACAATTATAGATCACACTTTTCCACTGCACCCTCAGTGGCCAGTGATGTGTCGCTGACTGGGGGCTCGGCGGTGCAAAGGGTGCGGTTGCTTGATGAAGTGGAGAGTCCAGGCTCATCCAGTGGGATGTTGGAGGAGGATCTGATCCAGTATTACCAGTTCCTCGCAGAGAAGGGAGATGTGCAGGCTCAGGTGAGATACATTCTATTCAAAATAGAACCTGCATTTTTGCCTAGGACTGAGAATACACCAGTTATGGAATTCTGTTATGGACAGTTATGGAATTCCCTAGCATGATGTCATGACTTCCAACCAGGAAGTAAATTTCAAACCTAAAAAAAACTACCCAAAAAAAACTGTCATAGGCACTTTAAAGAAGACCTGTTGTGCTTGTGTTTATGGGTAGTTATATATATATATATATATATGACATTTTCCTGTAGGTTGGTCTAGGTCAGCTGCACTTGCATGGAGGACGCGGTGTGGAACAGAACCATCAGGTGAGTGTTTAAAATACAAATATAAAAATATATTTTATTTACCTATGGGATATAGGATATTAAAATTATCATTCACCTTTTAACCACCAGAGGGCGTTTGACTACTTCACTCAAGCTGCTAATGCAGGAAACACACACGCCATGGCTTTCCTCGGGAAGGTGAGGAAACGTTTTTAAGAATGATAAAAATGTATTTGAGATATTTATATTAAATAATGTGATTTATATATATTTTCATAAATATATAAACATCTAATTTTAAGTTACTTAAAGGTGCACTAGAAAAGACTTAAACATCCAGAAGAAATGTTACGCAGTGCAGCTTTAAATTCATGACATGAAAAAATGAACACACTAATTGTAGTATTCATTCATAATTTTTTTGTAAAATTGTGACACTGATCATTAGAAATGAGTCCTGATCTGGGTTATAATTAGATTAACCATACATCCTTAAATGAAGCTGTCATTTGTGTTGCAGATGTACTCAGAGGGCAGTGACTCCATTCCTCAGAACAATGAGACGGCGCTGCAGTATTTTAAAAAGGCCTCAGACCTGGTGCTCAAACTTAACAGTAAAATAAACCCCTGTACATCCACAGTGTCTCTGACTGTCCTGTCCTCTGTCCTTTTCTCAGGGAAACCCAGTGGGACAGAGCGGGCTGGGGATGGCCTATCTCTACGGCAGAGGAGTCCCAGTGGTGAGTTTGGGCCAAACAGCTCATAATTTTACTCCGCAGCCCTGACAAGACACTTCCTCAGAGTAGTGAAGTGTGAAATACGGCTGCAGTGGTCCTCCTCGATGTACAAAAAAACATTGCTAGAATATAATTTCTACTTTTTTTTAACTAGAGGAGTGCACTGTATTGACAGTAACTGAGTTTATTGTCATTTCAAATAATACAAGCCATGAAAAAAAAGTTTTCTATTAGCTTTAAAAATCAGATAAAAATTGTGTTTTCACATCAACTCCTGTTGGTTCATTTTTAGCCATATATGTATATTCTGATACTAAATAAGAGCAGATATAAAAGTACATTATTTGTGTGTTTTGTCAGAACTATGAGCTGGCTCTGAAGTACTTCCAGAAGGCAGCAGAGCAGGGCTGGGTGGACGGACAGCTGCAGCTTGGCACCATGTACTACAGTGAGTCTGTTACTTTTCACATTTCAGTGTAGTTATCGTCTTATTTGTTTTTAATTGTTTAAATCAGCGAGAACACCATGCTAATTCAGGCTTGGGGTTCTGGGGTTCACCCATAGGATTCAGCTCCAGTCTAAGGAAGCTTATGAGGAATTTATTTACAAACAATACAGAAATAAAAACACAAGGATAATCTAGAGTGAGTTAATATGAACATTTCTTCTGCAGATGGCATCGGAGTGAAGCGAGATTATAAACAGGCTCTGAAGTTCTTTAACCTGGCGTCTCAGGCTGGGCACATCCTGGCGTTTTATAACCTGGCACAGATGCATGCCACAGGAACCGGAGTCATGCGCTCGTGTCACACCGCTGTGGAGGTAACGCTGTTTACGTTTCTCGAATTGTGGCTTCTTTTGATAGTACTGCAGGTTATCTGCAGTAGCATTTGCTGAATCAGTTCTGCTATTCTTACCGTGGCAATGGTATAGTCCTGTTCGAGACCTGGATTATCAATAGATTAAACCTGGAATAGTCCTAGTTTAGACCTGGTACTTGGAAATAGGGATGCACTATTCCAGTACTGGTATCAGATATCAGTGCTGATACTGAAAAATGTGGCTTCCAAATACCAGTTCTATTGATATCATGGTTGCATATATAAATTGATGCAATAAGACTATTTACTGGTCATAGTGGGCCCAGAAAGTCTCATTATTTTTGTAGTTTCATAAAACATTTTGTCTTATTTTGTTTTTATTTAAAGGAAATGAATCCTGTTTTCAGTCTCTGCTCTGGTATTTGATACTTAAAGCCATAGTATTGAAAACAGTATTGGAATTTTCCTTTAAAACGTTTTCTCTCTCACTTCATTAAACCATAACAGACAGAAAAGAAATAAATTGACTGGTTTAGGTGTATTTACTTTCTAATTTCATGCTGTTTCCATATAGTATTAACGTGTTCCTCTCTCCTCTGTTGCAGCTGTTTAAGAACGTGTGTGAGCGTGGGCGCTGGTCGGAGCGTCTGATGTCGGCCTACAGCAGTTTTAAAGAGGGACACACAGATGCGGCTCTGGTGCAGTATCTGCTACTCGCCGAACAGGGATATGAGGTCGCCCAGAGCAACGTTGCCTTCATCCTCGACCAGAGTGAGTAGTTTACGTTAACATGTTATAATGTTTTTATCTCCTCAAAAATATAGCGTTATGTTTTGTTTTATTCTCACATGTTTGAAAAATTCTGGTTTCTCAGTCTGTCTACATCCCCAAAGCTAAAAATGCTCTGTTCCACCTTGTTATGTCATGAAGCAGTAGTTTTCAAGTTAACTGCTACCTTTATCTTTTGTTCAGTTGAGAATCCAGAGCTGAAATCATCCAAATGAAACACAGTGGAGCACTTTCTGAATGACACATGACATCACAAGGTGGAACAGAGAAGAACTCAGCCTGAATATGCAGGATTTGTGTTTTTAATCATGTGTGAATTAAACAAAACACAACTTCAGTTATGTTTTTGATGAGCATACAACATTGTAACATAGGCCTTTAAGGTAAAGGCTGTGAGCTACTATTGGTTTAAAAAGAAAATGTTAGCTTGAGAACCAAATCACAGAATGTAAACATATGCATACTTTTTTGTTTGCTTGACACATGTGAATTGAACACACAATCTAGATTTAGTTGTTTACTTCACTGAGTCAGTCCTTCCTCAGTTCCTCATTCACCCCAAACACTGCACCACATGAGAGGCTGTCAGGTGACCAAACAGCTGTGAACAGAGGGCATATGGACATACATACACACAGTCACTTGACTGTTGCTGTACAGTCTGGTCTTTGTTTTCACCTGTTGTAAATATTCCATAAGGACACTGCCCCCTGGTGGAGCAGAGAAGAGGCACACACAGACCAAGGCTTCACTGTACAGAGGAGTCTCGTTGATATTAAGTTGAAGTCTAATTTGCATCAGACAAAGGTTTCTAACAAGAGGTGCAAGGATTCATATAGATATTGCTAAATTAAATGTGCACTATGTAACATTTTGGTTGGGAATTCTGTCACCTGATTGTTTCTGCTGTTTGGTTATGTAATTGCTCTGCCTGGAATGTTCCACAGCATGGCCTTAAGCAGCTCTATCTTACATTTATTTATTAAATTACATGTGGTTTTATAGCACAAAAATACCTAGAAAAACAGGTATTCTGACTTTGAGTGGGGTTGCCTCTCCACAGATCTGACCTGTAACTTGTTCTGGTTCGGTGTCCACGAAGATGGAAATGTTTAATACCATACTGTGAAACATTCCAGACAAAAGCAATAACTTCTCCATGGAGAAAAGCATTTAGCAGGCCCTCCATCAGAAAAGATACACAATGCACTTTTAATGACAAATCTAAATAATCACTGTTGTTTCCCTTCAAATCAGAAGGAGCAAAGATCTTCAGTGAAAATGAGACGTATCCACGCGCATTACTGCACTGGACCAGAGCTGCCGCACAAGGTTTGACCAATCACAATAATATTTTAAACATGTACATCACGCGTCCTCTAACCTTTGCATCTTTGTCCCTGTCTGCATCCTGATCGGCGCCTTTTCCCCGTCTGCGTCCTGATTGGCGGCTGCAGGTTACACCGTAGCCCGGATAAAGCTTGGGGACTATCACTTTTACGGATACGGCACAGATGTGGACTATGAGACGGCAGTGATCCACTACAGACTGGCCTCAGAGCAGCAACACAGTGCCCAGGCCATGTTCAACCTGGGATACATGCACGAGAAAGGACTGGGAATTAAACAGGTACAACACACCTCTACTCTCACATCTCTCTCTGTCTCTGTCTCTTTTTCTGTCTCTTGTCTCTCTCTCCTCTCCTCCTCCTGTCTCTTCCCTCTCACTTTTTCCCTCTCCTATTTATGTCTCTTTTCTGTGTTTCTCTGTCTCCCTCTCCCTCCTGTCTCTCTCATCTGCTTCATTTTCTCCTCTCTCTCCCTCTCTCCTCCCTTCTCTCTCTACTACTGTATGATTGCTCATTATTATTATTACGTAGTTCATCCTTCTTAGTTCCCTTCTTCAGTCGTCTAAATAAACCTTGTGTTTGTGTTTGTGTCTCTTCGTCAGGACATCCACCTGGCAAAGCGTTTTTATGACATGGCGGCAGAGGCCAGTCCTGATGCTCAGGTCCCCGTGTTTCTGGCTCTGTGTAAACTGGGGCTGGTCTACACTCTGCAGTATCTACAGGACCTCAATGTAAGCGATTTAAATAGGTCCCCCCCCCAGTATCCGTACTTGTATGTTACACAGTACACCTTTAAACATTTGTAGTGAATTGTCTGCCACCTGCTCGTCTCTAAGGAAATGTTATCGCTTTGTCTAGAATGTTCCACAGTATACATAAAATCTGTCACGACAGAGACAGGCAGGTTACAGCACTACGCCACAATACAATTCAGATTCACAGTAGAAACACATGTTATGAATAAATACTAGATGTATATGTTGAATGTCATACCATGGAGCATTGCAGGCAACAACAATAACATCTCCATGGAGACAAGGCGGTAGCGGATTCACCACCAGAAAAATTGTGCAGTGCATCTTTAAATGAGTTTCTAGTTTTAATATTAGTTTTAGTATCAGTTAGTATGTGATTTTGGACATTTTTGACACCGCTTTCATCCTGTGTTCTAGCTACAGGAGCTGGTCTCTCAGGTGGACTTGGACCAGCTCTTAGGACCTGAGTGGGACCTTTACCTCATGACTGTGATCGCTCTGCTGCTGGGAACTGTAATTGCTTATCGCCAACGGCAACACCAAATCATACTGCCCCCTGCACCTGCCCCCGCACCTGCTCCTGCACCTGCCAGAGCCGCCCCGGAGCAGAGGGACGCCGAGGGGCAGGCAGGAGGGGCAGAATGAGACGCCCCCTCCTCCTCCACCACAACAACCGGACCCTCAGTGAGAAGCAGACACTGGCAAAGAAATGTCTCCATGAGTTAATATGACTTCAAATCATGACTAAAGGAATTTGAACTAGTTTCGATTTATTTACTTTAGTTCCTATATTACTCACAGTTGACTGTTGTGAGCTTTAAGCCACGTTACAATGTTGTTACCTCCTCAAAAATATACATAGAGTTGTGTTTTGTTTCATTCACACATGTTTGTAACATCCTTTATTATTAGTCTGTCTATATCTCCAAAGCTCAGAATGCTCAGTTCTGTCTTGTGATTCATGAAGCACTAGGTTTTTTTTTTGTTCAGCAGAGATTGTATTCTAGGGCTGGAATTATCCAAATGAGTGTAGTGAAGATTTATGGAGTTTAAAAACACAGTGGTGCACATCATGTATTCCCACATGACATCATAATTTGGAGCAGAGAAGAAAGAAGAATTCAGCCTAAATATGCAGGGTTTGTGTGTTAAACATGTGTGAATAACAAAAAAACACAATTCCAGGTGTTTTTGCTGAGGAAACAACATTATAATAAAAATATGAAAATGACGTCTTTTAACTCATGTAAGTATCTTCTTATGCAGTGCTCCGTGATACTGATAGGGGGCAGTGCAGGACAGACAAGAGAGACTGCTCTTCTTTATTTTAAACATCACTCTTTAGGCTCTTCCTGTTTGTTTTTTTTTCCTATTTTTTCCTCTGGAATGCCCCCTGCCGTTTAAGTGGAGCACTGTCACCAATACACTCAAAAAGACTACTGAGTGCTCCCTCTCTGCATTGAAAATCACCAAATGAATCCATGTTTTGGACTGTTCCTGTCCCAGAGATGACCAGCAGGGGGAGATAAAGACAATATATTCATGCACAATTCAGTTCACCATCACAGACTCTTAAAAATGCTACTTAGTTCTGTTTTAAATCGAATTAAAGTCTGAAAATGCAATGACGTTTCAAGAGACATTTTTGGACAGTTTTTTGGGGGGATCTGCAGACTGCATAGCAAATGGGAAATGGATTCACAATATGATTTCTTATCATTTTGAAAAATCATAATTTGTTGTGTTGAAATTTCAAAGATTTCTGCATGTTTTGATCCATCTTTTTCATTTTAATTCAGCCACAGACACTGTAAAAACATTGTGCATTGTCATTTTGGATTTTGAAATTTTGGCTTCCTTTGTTTTTAGGTCAGTGAAAGTTTGCCAAGAAAACTAGTCCAGATTAAAATGGAAATCTTTAACATTGTTTACTTGAAATGCTGGAATTGATGCTAATGTAAAATAAATAATTTAATTTATGAAGATATGAAATTCAGAGTTTGTTGAACCGTCACGCAAGCATAAGTTTACAGATCTGCTGTGTAACTTTTCTACTTTTACCACCTACTTGTAGAGCGTTTTCAGTTTGAGAGCAGAACTCAGCGTAAATATGCAGAGTTTGTGTGTTAAACATGTGAATGAAACAAAACACAACTCCAGGTATGTTTGTGATGAGGAAACGACATTATAAAATAGATAGGAAAATAGTGTAATATGGGCTCCTTAATTTAGATTAATTGTTCAATTTTAAGTTGTGAATTCCATGGAACATTCTAGGAATTGTAGTTTTCCTTCTGTTGTGAGATTGTCCCACCCCCTCACAGCCCACTCTCCTCCATCTGAACATCAAATAATCAAAGCTGTATTTAGATCAGACAGGACTTCGACCATCTGAACACTTATTTTTACTCATCCACATAACACTTCCTGTGTTTCTTCACTCAATTAGATAATTCTATTCCATGTACAATAATAGTAGTAATGTTCTCTCAATTGAATCAAATTAGTCTTTAATCTGAGTTTGATTTTAACACAATCAGACCAGAAAAGGAGCTGATTTAGTTGGAACTAGAGCAGGTGAGCTGATTTGTGCTGATAAACAAGGCTGTTGCACATAAAATGATAGTCTCGTGCTTCCTTGCATTAGCCAACAGTTTTTCAGTTAGTCACTTTCACCTTTTAGTTGGAAATCACATTGAAAAACATCTAAACAGGACGATAAACACTCACTGATCACAGGCTCCTGAAAATGTGTTTTAAGTCCATTTTGTACTTTTTTTTTTTCTTGAGTTTTCAGGTGATCTTAAAATTATTTATTTTTTTGGCAGTGTTTGTGAATGTGCTCATTGTGTCTCCATAGTAACTGCTGTACCTTCCACCATAGACATGCATGTAGAGCACCCCCAGCATGATGTCACTGCAGAGTATCAATAGAATGTGAACGTGATGTCATCTGAAACGCAGCAATGGTATTTAGACTTGTCCCTTTATGTGAGTGTGCGTGTGTTTGTACGTACGTGTGTGTGCTTGTGTGTGTGTGTGTGTGTGTGTGTGTGTGTGTGTATATGTGAGTGGGAGGGGTGTTTGAACAATGGTCCCAGGGCCTCTGAGGCGAGCGGTGCTTTGTTCGGCTGCAGGTCACCTCCCGTCTGCTCCGCGCTTGTCACTATGGGTCCATAACACTGCTATGGAGAGACTGTGGATCACCGTGGCAACATGTGTGCTAGTGTCCCGGGCAACAAGAGGTAAGTGCTAGAACTACACTGCAAAAAGTATCACTAGGAGAGGTAGAATGTGTTTTATAATGACTGGGATTTGTTTATTTAACTTAATGAAGTGGAGTCAGATATATTTATTTCCATTCATGGGTTTCAGTTTCTTGTTATAGGTGCCATTTTGAGGACTACTGGCCATTCAAAAGATAAAAAAATTTGTTCTGAATTGTTTATTCCTATGGTGATGGCTTTTCATCATTTTGAAACGCATGGATTTGCTTGTGTCAATTTACATTTGACATTTGACAACTTGACGAATCTACTGAAAAAATCTACTTGAGGTATACTGTTAAAGTGAGAGGAATTTGTGGAATTTTAACTTAATGGAGTTGAGTTGTATGGAATTTACTTTTGACAGGACTACCTTATTATTACTACCATATTATTACAACAGGTTATAATCCACAAATTGATCAATTTATACACAAATTGATTAATGTTATAATGTTGTTTCCTCATCAAAAACATATCCAGATTGTGGTGTTTTCTTTCATATACATGTTTAACGCACAAACTCTGCATATTTAAGCACTGTGATTTTAAACTCCATATACCTTCACTAGAATCATTTCGATAATTTGCCAATAATTGCCAATCTCTATTGAACTAAAGGTAAAATGTAGCTGTTAACTTGAAAACTACTGCTTCATGACATCATAAGGTGGAGCAGAGCATTTTGAGCTTTGGAGATGTAGACAGATTTATAATAAAGGGTTACTCAAACTTGTTAAAAATCCAGTTTCCTGCCCGCTGTTTTCAGTGTTTTCAACATTACTAAAGTTATCATAGTTTGACACTAAAGACAAGCCCAACCCTTTTCCTGCCCTTAAACGTTATAGATTTGTGCCAAATCTTATCTACACACAAAACTTACTTCAACACATTCACAGACAAACCACATCTAATATGTTTTGTTAAATATCTGTTTTGTTTGTGACATTTTAAACTTCTTTACAGGTAGAGTAGAGGAGAGACAACACAAAGCTCTGGTTAATTTCAAACCAGGGGGAGTCGACAATATGTTAAAAATAGCATAGTAATAATAATGTGAGTGAACATAGGATCATTATTGTAAATCTGGTCCACTGCAGAGCGAAAAATGGTGAGGGACGTGTGGGTGGAGGTGTAAGCCAGACTCTCTTGCGTTGTTTTAATTGATGAAAAAGATACTCAGGATTTCTCAGTTTTTCTCTAGTGTAAAAAAAAACTTCACAATAGATGCTGACTGCGTTTTGCATGTAGAATAGTTCTTGTATTTGTTCCTGAAACCACAGTTGACTTGGATCATGTCATTTACTCTTTAGTTTTCTGTTTCAGGCAGTGAGTGGTGGTGGGAGTATGAAGAGGGAATACGCCACTACAGCAAAGAAGCTCTTAACCAGGTACGGCTCAGTTTGATAAGAGAAAATGCAGAGTTCTCTAGTGGCTCATGTCACATGATCAGCAGGCATCTGAAGTATGTGCAAAGCAAGCACACCTGAGCCACTAAAAGAAAGTGAAAATACATTCACATATTAAGAATGTCTATCTCAAATAACAAAGAATTTTCAACTATAAATATGTTTTTGTTGCCATATTTGTTGTGTGTCAGATGCCCTACCATCTATTTTCTTATAGTGTTGTCTCTAGTTAATCCACAGATGTTGCACTGTGGTAAATACAGCGGGAGAATGGAGCTTGTCATTAATAGAAATTATTAGGGGAAAAAAATAGTTGATTTGATGAAAATATCACTGAATGAGACAGAAAACAGTCTCATTGTCACCACACTGCACTGTCTGAAAAAAAAGTATTATAAAACTGTATGCCTACTACTATAACTGTATTTTTTATGTGTTTTATTTCCAGGAGTTTCCAGAGAAAACTCGTCCTGTGAGTTTCAAACATCCAGTGTTTGAGTGTCGTGACATGACCCCATCCCCCTCTGTCCCCAGCTCAGGTCTGAACTCCGTGAAAGAATTCTACAATGCAATCTCCAAGCTCTAACATTTCTAGTGGAGAGTCTGTCACCTGCGTATCTCTATGGAAATGTTATTGTCTAGAATGTTTCACACTCTAGATTATGCATCTTTAAAGTCGTAGTATATACCTTTCTTCTTCTTTTTTTTTTTTTAATGCTCTGAGAAACATGTGTCCTTACTGTGAGCGGGCTTGCATCTCCACAAACCTGACTCTCACTTGACCTGAAGGAAAGACTCTTCCTGTTTATTTCCATAGAAATGTTGACATGCTGAATGTTGAATGTACATTATGGTTTTAACTTTCTGTTTCCATGGAATCCTGCAGGTGATTCCAGAAAGTTACATACTGTACCTTTAAGTCACATTTGTTATTAGGTCTAGATTAGATGATCAATAATGAGATTGAGGAATGACCTTTTGTCTCATTATGAATCCAATCTTCTTCCTTCTATTATTGATAATTACTTTAAATTAGTTATTAATAATATAACAAAGTCCTGTCAAAAATATTCCAGCAAGTGACAAAATACTAAATATTGACAAAATAATTGTTCTCAATTGTTCTCATTTTAATTAATATTTGTAATGGTCATAAAATTGCAATTCTTCCTCATTTTAAACAAAAAGTCAAGGATCAGTTTCGTTTTTTTAATCGTATATTCTTGTTTTGCACTCACTGTGTGTTTCTAATGTGATGTGTTACAGTGGAATTGGTGAAAGCCGCTGATATCAAGATCATCGCTGCTTTGGGGGACTCTCTGACTGTGAGACCAAGTTTCATATAAGGATTTACAGTACAATAAAATCATTATGTATGATTTCATTTAGTAATAAAAGTGGTGTAATGATTCCGGTTGTTTCAGACAGCCATAGGAGCCAATGCTTCAAACGTCCTGGGGATCCCTATCGAGTTTCGACACGTGTCCTGGAGGTAATGAGGTTTTCTTGTGTTCACGTTTTATTGTTTCTAATTCGTCCCTGTAACTGTCAGCATTGTGAGTTTCATTTGACTCAAACTCTATGAGCCCACTTTTTTACGCAGTCTTGGAGGTGCTTTCTGGTAGAGATCTGAAGTTGTTTTAATTAATGTAGATTCTCTAGATTCATCATGATTTTTTGCAGTGTAACAGGCTTTACAGTGTATCCTAACTGGATTTTTTGAGTGGAATAATTGTTGCATTTGGTCCCAAAGTTACAGTTGACTTGGATAATGTAATTTTCTGTATTCATGTTTTATTGTCAATCTGAGTTTTTGAGTCAAAGTCACAATACAACTATTAAAAACATAGAAAGCAATAAGACACAAGGTAGGGAAGAGATGATGTATTGCCTTGTTTTCTTGTGCTGAGATGTTGTGTGCCTCAGGGACAGAACTGCAGCGTTTATACGGTACAGGGACTTTCATTGTGATTTAAATTGCCTGAAAATGTTTAAATTAGATTAGATTACATAGATACTTTATTATCCCAAAGGAAATTTGTTTTTCAGGCAGCATACAATGCATAATACAATGCATAATATAATACATAATATAATACATATAAAGCATCAATTTGTATAAATGTATAGTGAAGCACTGGACTTTATAAATGTATTTATTTATTTTACATACATACATACATACATACATACATACATACATACATACATGTTTTATATAGAGCTTTTCAAGGTAAGACAAAGTTGTTAAAATCAAGATGTAGTTCTTATGTTTTAAACTCATCCACTGAAAATCTGAACTTTAAACTAATCCAAGAACCTAATGTAGTGTATTTCAAAACACGCTCTAAAGTAAACGAAAGGATTAGTAGGTTTTCACAGAATAAGACCCCATGGAGACACAGGGACATTTCACAACGTATTTGTAGTTTAGGCGTAATTGCATCTTTTGCTGTTGAATGAAGTTTCATTTTTGCAGCATCGGTGGATACGGCTCATTTGAAGATGTCATAACTCTGGCAAGTAAGATCAGCTAATCTAAAATATTTCACCTGAGTGGTATCATCTAGTTTTTCTGTCTCTCTCCTGTCCTCTATTCCTGTTTTCTGTATTTTCTCCTCCTTCCTATTGTCAGACAGAATCAGATTGTTTAATCCAGACTTGTTCTCTCTCTCCTCCCTCTCTCTTTCTCTCTTTCCTCATCCTGTCTTCTCTTCCCTCTCCCTCACTCTCTTTCTTCCTTTCCCTCCCTCTCATTCTTTATCTTGACTTCTTTCCTTTTACAATTTGTAGTTTATTTCTCAGATATAAGCAACCTGTTTAACCCTGGCTCTTTTTTTCTCTTTTCTCCTTTCCTCCCTCTTCTCTCTCTTTCCTCCCTCTCTCCTCTCCTCTTCTCTCTCCTCCTCCCTTTCTCTCCCTCTTTTTTCCATAGACATACTAAAGCTCTTTAACCCTGGGCTTCTGGGGGCTGCTCGGGGGAAGACGGTTCACGGGATGCAGGCTCACATCAGCGACACCGGCTTCAACCTGGCCGTGACTGGACACAACACTTTGTAACATCACTTTAAATCCATTTATACATTTATATATATTCTTCTTAGATCGCTTTCTTTCTGTCAATGAATAATGACCTTTGACCTTTTTGCAGTAACCTCCCGGGACAGACCAGGAACCTGATTGACACACTCAGAGGATATGAGGTATGACATGACTCATGTAGTTCAGTAGTATATTTGTAGTTTTGATACATTGATGATTTTTACATATTTGTGTATATATTTGTCATTTCAAGTTTAAAGTTGCACTATGTAACTTTTCTGATGGACAGTAACCCACCTGCAGGTTTCCATGAAGATGCATTGAATGTATCTATCTCCATGGAGACAAGCAGGTGATGCGACCAGGCCTTGTTACACGATCTTGAACACACACACAAAGTAATAAATGCTAAATGAATAAGTTGCCAAACTGTGGAACATTTCAGACATCTCCAGGGAGATGAGTGGGTGAGGGACTGTGCATCAGAAAAGTTACTTAGTCCATTTTTTTTTTTTATTATTATTATTTTTTTTTAACCTTTAATTAACTTGGATATTCTACCTGGGATTCGGAATGTCTTATAAATCCATGGAATGATTTACAGTTATGGCTTGGTTTAGTCCTGGTTTAGTCCTGGTTTAGTCCTGGTTTAGTCCTGTTTCAGTCCTGTTTCAGTCCGTATGCAGCGAAAAAGTCTGGCATCTCAGTTTAAGTCATGGAAACAGGAAACATCAGTTATCCGTTTTTCATAGTTTAGTTGTTTTGTCGTTTACTTATTTTTGGTTTTATTTTGAAAAACAAATGAACAACTGATACACGGATTTGCCCCATACTTCCAAATACTACATTGGTAAATAAGCACATGTCATACATTGTTTTGTACAGGGTCTGAACTTTGAGGAGGACTGGAAGCTGCTGACCATTTTAATGGGAATGAACGACATCTGTGATTACTGCAAAGACAAGGTCAGAAAGATTCCACTGTTTCCACAGAGGAGGACTTTGTGCCAGTTTTAGTTCCATGTGAATAGGCCCAGTAATTACAGAGATATTAAAATAAACCAGGTCAAACTGCAAATTACACTGAAAAGGCAATATCCTGCTTTTCTAGGCTCTGTTTTCTGTGGACAACTTCATTCACTACATGACCGTCTCCCTGGAAATGCTCATGAATGAGGTTTGTGAATTTGACATTAATTAAAACATTAAAATGATAAAATGAGAGGACATCTGATACAGGAACACATGAGACTGGTAGGGCATCTGACACATGTGGTTGTGCTTGCAGGTTCCTCGTCTGATCGTAAATGTGGTTCAGATTCTGCCCATGAGGAGCCTGAGGGAGGTGCAGAGGCCCACCCCGGGGTGTCTGCTCCAGAGGTCATTACAAACTCCACACAATCAGTTGATGTGTTTTCTTATGGGGAGACAGTAGCTCAGTTGGTTGAATGTTTGTCCATTGATCCGAAGGTTGGTGGTTTGAATCCCGCTCTTGACATAAACATAACTGGTTGACTAGTCAGCTCCATGAATCCACAGGTTGGCAGTGCGATTCCAGCTCTCACAGATTAATTTTGACATTGTGTCCTTGTGCTTATTATTATAAATTATTTCAAATATAACTATATACTCTTTGGGAGGAGGTATGGGGTTGATTTTGAAAGAAATTTGCATACTCCCACAAATGCTAAACTTTATCATTATTTGTTTGGGATTGGTTCCACAAACTTGTCATGTTAATATTGTGGTTTAAAATCCTTTCATCTGACAACAGTCATGTCTTCGGGGTTGAATAATGGCACCACTTTCTGAAGCTATTGTGAAAAAATAGTTTATCTTTATTTATACTGACAGGGAAGACGTTGTGCCAGTTTTTGTTTTTGTTTTATGTGGATAGGCCCAATAATTAGAGAGATGTGAACCATAATCCAGCTCAACAAATCTGACAGTTAAAGAGCAAATTCCACCATTCAGACCTGTCCTCCACCTCAGTTTAAACTATAGAGATGCTTGGATGTTGTGATGTTAAGTGAACATGACCTTTTTGACCTCTTGTTGCAGATCTTTCTGTTCATGTCTGATCGAGCCGGTGTCTGGCTCTGCTCAGCTGAAGGAGTTGCTGGAAGTCAACCTGGAATTTCAGGTCAGGAGCAAAAAGAAACAATCATATTTAATGATGCACATTTAAAGTTGCACTATGTAACTTTTCTGTCCACCACCTGCTTGTCTCCATGGAGATGTCACTGCTTTACCTGGAATGTTCTACACCATGACATTGATCTTCTAACTCCATGGAGAGTTAGAGATGCTCCTATAGATCAAGTAACAGATCTGGTCTGTGGAGAGGCAAGGCAACACCTTTAAAACACCTCTCAGTATCTTGGACCTGTCTCTGTCTCTCTAAACTCGCCAAAACAAAGTCTGAACACTAAAAATAGAATTGAATAGTGAGACGAGAGAGCTCAGTACAAAGCCATTAAAGCTGAGTGCCTTATGCAATGCTCTGCACAAAATGGCAACAGTGACAAGCAGTTTGGCTAATGTATAGTCATGGGCTTCAGACAGACAACTCCTTCCTGATTTGAAGGACTTTGTGAAGACCCATAGAAGACCTTTCCCCTTTGAAAAGATAGAACATTTGGATTTGGATTGCTCAATTGCTACGACCACGGAGAGTGTTGCCAGAGCTTGAAACCCCATGACTTCACAACATTGTTAAATCCCTATTGATACTTTGCAGCTAATGTTATTCACAGTCCCCTGGGGTGTGATGCTAACTGTAGGCACTACTCTGTTACACGCTCTTTTACTCAGGTTAGACTTAATTAACACAATCTACCTAAAAAGAGTTGACTTGGTTGGAACTACAACAGATGAGATGATTTGTGCTGTCAGGTGATCTTAAAACATTTTTGTCTGTGTTTGCTCATGTTTGGATTGTGTCACCATAGTAACTGATAAACATTCCACAAACAGAGATACATGTAGAATATCTCCAGTGTGATGTCTCTGCAAAGCATCAATATTTGTGACCGGTGCCTAATCTTTTTACACAGAAAGCGACTGGAGGATCTGCTCTACACCGACCGCTTCTTCAGACAGGACTTTGCTGTGGTCCTCCAGCCTTTTCTGAAGCACGCCGATCCACCACGCCTCCCGGTAATTCAACTACCAACCTGCACCGGGCTCCTGATGTCTGCAGTTCAGCTACCAAACTCAATTCAAACTAGAGAGGCTCAGACAGACAAAGATGTTTTATTGAATGATGAAGGGTGTTTCCGGTTAGATGACCTTTAGGAGAGGTGTTTGGCCCGGACAATGGAGGTGGTAGAGGTGAGGATGAGGAGAGTGAAGTGGACCATGAGAAGATGAGAAGTCAAGGAGGAGATGGAGCGTGGCACAAACCAAAGCAGCTCTGCAATTGCAATGGTGGTTTAAAATGGGCAGACTAGCCACTGACTGGACAAGGAGGTACAGTGAATGGCAAGGAGGAATATTTAGTGTGAGGATGATCCTGAGGAGCAGGTAAACTGTAGAGAAGCAGTGCGCTAGACAGGAGTGAAAATAGTTCTTCCAGGCTGAATTTAGGTTAGCTCCATATGCACTCTCTGAACTTAAAATACAATGTAGAAAATCTAAATCTAACAGTGTGTGTCTGTTTTCAGGATGGGAGGATTGACATGTCCTTCTTCACTCACGACTGTTTCCACTTCACCATAAAAGGACATGAGGAACTGGCCAAAGGGCTCTGGAACAACATGGTGAGGTGTTTGTGTGTGGTTGTGATGGTGGACAGTGTTTACTCTCTCACAAAAAAGGTTGACAGTTCAAAGACTAGTGTTGTCATGATACTAAAAATTCAATCTTGATTTCTATATGATGGAATAGACTCGATACTCAATGCCGATTCCGATACCACAATTTGTGTGAATGTGACTTTTTAGTATCAATACCTGCTCAAATGAGTATTTAGATTTAGTATTGATTACTATCTGATTTTTGATCCTTTTAACAAGACAGTTTGCAGTTTCTTCTTCCAAGAAGCAGCTTGGATGAGCTGCGAAACATATTTGACCAAATAAACTTTATCCAGCTGAAATATAATTCAACATTTAATTTAATTTCTTGGATTATACCTGGATGACTGAGGGATTTTTCACACTTTTGACAAGACGTATATTGGGCCAGTAGTAGTAATATTGTTTTTCACACATTATCTATGCTGTTGCTTTAAATCTCTCGTGAAGACCATTGTTTAGGTTTCCACACCTGGAAAACCTGAATAATCCAACCTGTTTTCCTGACATGGAAAACACATGAGAAATTTAAAAAAAAAAATAAAAAATTCCTGGATAATGTAAAAGTTTGTCCTTGAAATTTTTCCAGCCTTGGCTTTTTTGGATATTTGAATATCAAATCAACAGAGACACTGTTATTGAAGTCATCACAAAATACCCACCAAATGTAGGAAATTACACCTACTTTGTACAAAAATTATTTTAAAAACTTAAGGGAAATGATCAAAAATCTGCTGTAGATTCTAAAAGAAACTAAAATATTCACTTCTGAACAGTCCACGAGCAGCTCCACAGCTGAGTGTTAAACTCATGTCTATTTTTCATTTGCTACATTGCATTTGTGTCATAGTTTTGATGCCTTCACAGTGAGAATGTAAATAGTCATGGAAATAAAGAAGAAACATAAATGAAAACATGTGCCCAAACTTTTGACAAGTCATGTAAGTTTATAATTAATGATTCATATTTGTGTTTCCTTTGCCTCAGTTTCAGCCTTACAGTGAAAAGACGATCGTGAACAGTTTCTCAGACCCCATCTCCCTCATCTGTCCTCCTGCTGTGAGTCACAATTAAAATATCCAAACATCATAAGGTATTTTTCAATCCTGCTCTTTTTGTCTCTATAGGAACATCCGTACATCTACACCCGACCCATGACACCGAGGTCCAGCTCCTCTTCTCCTCACAGCTTTCTCCTCCTCATCCTCCTCTTCATCATGATCCAACTGTAACAGCTCTGTGTCACTGTGTCGTCCATTACATAAAATACACTTAAAATTTCCAAATGTGTGAGTTATTTTGACCCAGACTGTGAATCATTCATAAGATCTTGATACTGCAGCTGATGTCATTAACATTCTAAGCGGGTATGACGCTAACTGGAAGCACTGCTCTGTCTGAAACTCTGTTAGATTTTAGTCTCACTAGAAAAACTGAATGAGTTGGAATTACAGCTGATTTGTACTGTTAAACAAGTCCCACTCAAAAAACATCACAGTCACAAGCTCCCTAGCGTTAGTGAACAGTTTTTCAGTTCCTTTTTTTGTAGAAGCACCTGCTGCACCTGCTGCACCTGCCGAACCTGCCTCAGTCAGAGTAATTACACTGGTCAAACATGAGGATATAAAAAGAGCTCAGTATGTTTGACTATAACATGGCGGTCTATTGTCTACTGTTTTATGTCCCTGTGTGTCAGATGCCCTTCTGTCCTCTTATATCCACATGTGTCAGATGCCCTCCCAGCTTCATGTATCAGTGTGTGTCAGATGTCCTCCTGTCCTCCTCAAAATCCAATATTTTTAATGACTGCTGGTAATAATAAATACTCATATGAATTTTCAAAGTAGATCTGTCAGTTAGATTTTCTGTAACTATGATTTTCAAAGGATGGAACATACTAGCCTGATTCATCAGCCGGTTTCACTTTGTAGAAACCGTCTGATCTTACAGCGTTATAATTCGTTCGCTTGACGGTAGGCAGGTACTTTTTGTCATTTAACCAATCACTTTTATTTGGTAGTCATGTACAGTATGTAATGTGCTGCTAACAGAGCTAACTGGTATATTAAGCTTTTCCCAAATCCTGTAGGAAGAAGGACAATAAAGTCTTTCCCCTTGATAAAAATCAACAAACATTCTCTTTGTTCTGGCTTTAAATTCTTGATCTCGGGAATCGTTGACAACACTGAATATATGGCTCTTCGCTGATTGGCTGGTGCCCGAACTCACACTTCTGGGGTTCTTGAAACTGTCTAGTGTATTCTGATTCCTGACCTAGTCGCTGGAGAGAAATGAAATTGAGCGGAGGCACTAGGTGGCGCCAGCCTGGGTAGGAAATTACAGTTTTTAGCCTCAAAATGATTTGAACTTCACAAAAATTTATAATTTGTGGTAATATATATAATGTATCTGTAGATAAAATGAAAAACTATTGTGTGGTCAATAGGGATGTTACAATAACCGAAATATGGTATTATATTGTCAAAAATCTCACAATAATATCGAAAGCTGTCACAATATATCGAATTACAAGTTCCTTTGCTTAAATGCATGGTTTTATAGTAACAACAGCTTATGAACATTGGAAACAACATATCCCATGATTCATTTCAGTGCAAACAACATGAAGAAATATGTTTTTTACTTGAATTCTTGGGATTATGACAGAAATAATTCACACAAAAAATAAATCTTGTCAAATCCTGTATTTTAAAAACCAAAAAGTGTCCCATCTATAATTATATTAGCCTCTTCAAAATATCACAATAAATATCATATCGTGATAATATTGTACCGTGAGATTTGGATATAGTTACATCCCTAGTGGTCAACATTTCAGTAAGTATCTGTCCAGTATAACTTAAAAATCAGAGTTTTACCTTCATCAAAATACAAGTGTCTGTCATAATCTCATAAGTCCATGTGACATTTCAGTTAAACATGCATACTTAACATATCTTTTAATCTTGATTACCACAGGTGATTTCCTACCAAACCAAAACAGAATTAGAAAACCATAAAAATCATGTAAAATTGCTTACATAATGAGCCCTCTCCACACTTGTATTGCATTATATTCTGAGTGAAAATCCTGGCACAAAGCAATCTTAACGATATGAAACTTTAATAAGGGTTAATTGACAGATTTATATAATGAATAGAGACTAATGCTTTGATTAACCTGATAACCTTCGTATGAGCAGGCTCGGGGGGTCTCGCTGGCTCTCTCCTGTCCGCCCGTGATGTCATTTCCTCGGCTCTCTCTCCTTTAAAACCCGCCGGTGCCGCGCGGAGCTGTCGGTGGATCCAGAGCGCGCAGAGCGGAGAGGACGAGTCCGTTTGACCGACGCAGCGCAGCGAGGGACCGGCCAGAGCTCTCCACAAACACCGAGGGACCGGCAGCGGTTTGGGATCAGAATGCGCCCCTGAAATCACCGCAAAATCACCAACAACAGCGGGATAATTCTGACATTAAACTGCGCTATTTTTCGATTTTTGGAGCGATTTTTCCCATCTGACAAAGCATGATCGGCAGAGTGTTTGTCCTCTTTGCAATACTGTGCACCAGCGGTAAGAAAAGACCGTTCAAGTTTTTTACAAATTCTAATTAAATTAACACAAAAAGCGTGAATTGTCCTCGTAATGAAATCAGCACCAAGGACAGCGACAGTGGCAGTTACGAGGTGCCAAGATGCAGTTTTCTCCGCCGCGGGGACAGATAGTTCCATGTCATTTAAATATAAAACTCACAAGCAAATATGTATGCAAAATAATTCTAATATTTGTTTATTCTAATATTTTTTGTGCATGTTTTGTGTGTGTTGCAGTTCATTCATTGCCAGTGACTTCGGGTCATCTGGAGAGTGAAGATGTCAAGGTAATGCAAATGATTAATGTTCTGCATTAGATCTGGTTTTGTCCTGGTTTTGTCCTGGTTTAGTCCTGGTTTAGTCCTAGGTTAGACCTGGTTTAGACCTGGTTTAACCTGGTTTAGACCTGGTTTTTGACCTGGTTTATTTCTGGTTTAGTCATGGTTTATTCCCTTTATTCACTTTTGCATTAAACCACATTTAGTCCTTTGATCTAATTTGGTTTAGTCCTGGTTTAGACCTGGTTTAGTTCTTGTTTAGTCTTGTTTGAGACCTGTTTTGTCCAGTTCCTTCATTTGCTTTGAGGGAATCCTATTTATAGTCCTGATTAAGCCGTGGTTTAGTCCATGGTTTGCCCTGGGCTAGACCAGGTTTAGTCCTGATTTACTACAGGCTTTCCTTTGTTTCTGTCCTAGTTTAGTCCTTTAGTCCTGTTTAGTCCTGTTTTAGTCCTGTTTTAGTCCAGGTTAGGTCCTGCTCTAGACCACATATTCCATAATTAAACCTTTTTGTTCTTGTTTTTTAGTGAAATTTCTCTTCTAAACTTGAACTAGAGGAAAAGACGGAATTTGAACAGCACAATATTTAGACTTGATAAATTCTTTTTCGAGCAGATAGAAAAGTCGTGGAGCAGATTTGACCCCGTGTTGATGCTCTGTAACACTGTGAACCATCTCTGCTCCATCAGATCTGTGAATATAGAACATGAAAAACAGACCCGTGCTTTGAGCAGCTCTCTCTTTGATTTTCTGACCCATAAAAGCAGACACACCAGTGCACCAGCTCAGAACAGGCTGTAGATGTTTTCTCTAGAAAGGAAATGATGACTTGTGTAATCACTTTTGGGGCTTTTAACTCTAATCATGTTGTTTACTCATCAAACATCCTGCAGACTTGACTTAATCTAGTCAAAATATTTAGTTGTTCTTCTTCTTCACCTGATACTTTGCGATGACATCATGTTGGGAGTTTTCTGGGTCTATGTGTATGTATGGGATATTTAGGAGTTTCCATGGTGACACAATAAACACTTTAGCAAACAAACCAACAAACAAAAAAGTTTGAAGAAGCTGGTGCAGTTGGTTTCTGGTAAAAAATGCAGAGTTGTTGAGATAAAGATTGATTTGAACTGTTTCTGAACACAAGAGTGTTTCTGCTCAAGGCCAGATGGAGGAGGAAGTGTTTCTCTCACTCTGTCACTATCTCCATCTCTCCATCTCTCTTTTTATCTCTCTCTCCCTCTCTCCTCTTTCTCTTCCTTCTCTCTTCTCTCCAACTCCCGTCTCTCCTCTCTTTCTTTCTCTCTCCCTCTCTCTTTCTTCTCCCCCTCTCCTCTCTTTTTCTCTCTCTTCTCCCTCTTCCCCTCTCTTTCTCCTTTCTCCTCTTTTTCCTTTTCTCTTTCCCTCTCACTCCCCTCTATCTTTCCCTCCACCTCTCCTCCTCCTCCCTCCTGTTTGATTCACACATTCCTCACCTCATTCTTCCCCCCCTTCCTTCTCTCTTCTCTCCCTCTCCTTCTCTCCTCTCTTTCTCTTCTCCTTTTCTCTCTCCCTCTCCTCTCTCCTCTCTCTCTCCCTCCCTCTCTCTTGCTGTCTGATTCACACATCCCTCAACTCATTCTTTTCTCTCCCTCCCTCTCTCTTCCCTCCCATTCTCTCTCCTCTTCCTTCTCTCCTCTCTCCCTTCTCGCCTCTTCTCTTTCTTTCTCTTCTCCCTCTCGCTCTTTTCTCTTTCACTCTCCTCTCTTTCTCTCTCCCTTCTCCCTCTCTCTTTCCTCTCTCCCGCTTCCTTCTCTCCTGTCTTCCCCTCCCTCTCTCCTCTCTCTCTCCAGCCCTCTCTTTTTCTGTCCGATTCACATATTCCTCACCTCATTCTTTTCTCTCCCTCCCTCTCTCTCCCTCTCTCTCCTCTTCCTTCTCTCTCCCTTCTCACCTCTTCTCTTTCTTTCTCTTCTCCCTCTCTTTCTTTTCTCTCTCCCTCTCCTCTCTCTCTCTCTCTCCTCCCTATCTTTCCTCTCTCCCTCTTCCATCTCTCCCATCTTCCCCTCCCTCTCCCCTCTCTCCCCCTCCCTCTCTTTTGCTGTCTGATTCACACATTCCTCACCTCATTCTTTTCTCTCCCTCCCTCTCCTCTTCTCTCCTCTTCTCTTTTGTTCTCTCTCTTTTCTCTCACTCTCCTTTCTTTCTCTCTTTTCTCTCCCTCTCTCTTTCCTCTCTCCCTCTTCCCTCTCTCCCGTCTTCTCCTCCCTCTCTCCTCTCTTTCTCTCTCTCTTTCCTCTCTCCCTCTCTCTTTCCCTCCCTCTCTACTCCCCGCACTCCCTCTCTCTTGCTGTTTGATTCACACATTCCTCACCTCATTCTTTTCTATCCATCCCTCTCCTTCTCTCTCCCTTCTCTCCTCTTCTCTTTCTTTCCTCTCTCCCTCTTCCTTCTCTCCCATCTTCTCCTCCCTCTCTCCTCTCTTTCTATCGCTCTTTCCTCTCTCCCTCTCTCCTCCCTGCCCTCCCTCTCTCTTGCTGTTTGATTCACACATTCCTCACCTCATTGTTTCCTTTCTCTCTTCTCCTTCCCTCCTTCTCTCTCTCCCTCTCTCTGCCTCCCCCTCTTTCTCTCCTCTTCCTTCTCTCCTCTCTTTCTCTATCTCTTTTCCTTCTCTCTTTCCCTCTCTCCTCCCCCTCCTCCCTCTCTCATGCTGTTTGACTCACACATCCCTCACCTCATTGTTTTCTCTCTCTCTTCTCCCTCCCTCCTTCTCTCTCTCTGTCTGTCTGTCTGATTCACACATTGAGAGCTGTTACACATGGAGTATTAAGTGAAAGGCAAAACTAAATGTCACAATCTGGATTATTCTGTGTTACTAAACTACTTTACTCCTCGGGTATTTCACGTTTACTGCCCTCTGCTTGGACGAGTGCGCACTGCCACTGTGTCCTTCAGCAAGACACTTCACCAGCCCTGCCTTATGTATTAAAACGGCGTGTAAGTCAATGATTGGCAGTGATCAGAGGGCCAGTGGTGCAGATGTGTGTCCCAGGGCAGCTGCGGCTTCAGTAGAGACTTTGCAGCTGATGTCATCCACATTCTCTGGGGGTGAGATGCTAACTGTAGGCACTGGTCTGTCTGAAGCGCTGTTACTCAAGTTGGAATGTAATTAGAGCTTTAATTTAATACAGTTTGACCAGAAAGAAGTGACCTAGCTGGAGCTACAGCAGTGATCTGATGTGTCGTGTTAAATAAGTGTCTTGCACATCAAATGACAGTCACAAGATAGACAGCTTTGGCCTACAGTTTTTGAGTTAGTATTTCTCTCCTTTATGTTGAAAATCAAACACCTACGCAGGATCATGAACGTTCATATTGATCACAGACAGAAAAAGTGCTGTTTAAATCCATTTTGTATTTATACTTCAGTTTTCTTTGCTCTGCTGAATATAAAGTTGAGGTTTGTATTTGTATTTATTTACTAAAGGGACAATGCATATTAAAAGACAAGATAATGTAGAGACAAACATGTCCTTGTGAATATGCAGGATTGTAGCCAAAGCTCATTTTCATCCTTAGTCTCCTGTTGGACCAAGGCCAACCACACAGAAATGCATCATAGTAGGCAGTCCTTCCTGAAATCATGAATTAGAGCAACACAGACAAGCGCTTCCTGGATTACCACCTGATGACATCACAAGCTGAACTCGGTGTTTTGAGCTCTGGAAAAAAAAAAAAAAACTAAGCAGATTTTACTATATGACATCCAGTTTAGTTGAAATCTTCTGTTTTGTTGTGTTTTTAGGTGTTGAAGTGCATCGTGGAGGCATTGGCCGACGTGCTGTCCAGGCCCCGCCCCCTGCCCGTCAGTCAGGACTGCCTGCTCACGCTCACTAACGGTAACAATGACAGTAGACTTTACTCATCTACTCAGTCATCACCATGGTAACAACAGCACCACGGTAACCCACTTTACCCATTCACTATCACATCCATAACAACATGATTTAGGAGGTGACATCATGACATTCAATAATGTCCCATAGCTTTTAATGTTTAACTTTTCTCTTTCTCATCTTTCCTCTATTATTTGTTTATTGGTCTTTTAACTGTTTTAATATGTGTCTTTGAGTTTCCTGAAAAGTGTTATATGAATAAAATAAAATCTAATACTGTAAATGTTTTATTATTATTCCTTTTTGTTTTTTTTAATGCTGATGATATGAGCTGCAAAGGACCAATAAGAGAACAGCAAACAATGTGTCTATAATTGTGAAGATATGCTCAGGTATTCTTGTCTGCCATTGAAAAGGTCCAGAGCTTCTGTGTTAGTTTTTTTTTTTTTTTTTTTTTTTTTTTTTTTCAATTAAGGATAACAGAATATAACATTAAAAAATACAACAATCAACATTTAACAAATAACAATAATTAACATAATACAAAACACAAAAACATAAAGCAACACCCTCAACAAATACAAAACAACAAAAAAAAGCCCCTATTTCCCCCCGGCCACACACCCCCACACAAATTTGACTAAACAAAGATAATGTGGTAGTGCAACATAAACACACCGCTAGGCCTCCTTACATTGACACATTACAGCCAATTCATAATTAATAATTCAAATCATCTTTTTTTTTCCTCTCTCATTTTTAAACACACATTTTTAGTCCCTATACTTAAACTAATATTATTTTCATTTCCTTTGCTATTTATTACAAACTCCATTAGGATCACCTTTTGTAAATATAATATACAAGTATAATGTAATCATTAGGAAAACCTTGCTCTTAAATTCCTCTCCAAATCACCATGGTAACAGCCTTATTATACTGTATCTCTAAGTCAACATGGTAAAACAGATATTGTTCAAATGCAGATCTTTGTTGCAATAGAGTGAGTTCTGGGGTCTAGTCGCTAATACAAATGATCAGATTCAACATTTGTGAATTTACCTTTATGTATTTCCTAAAAAAAAAATCTATGTAATCAGGTAAAGGTAAAACTGTCTCTTGTCCCTTATCTGGGAGTGCGGCATCATCACACTCCAGCATCTGCAAACCACTAGTAGCACCACTAAATCACCATGGTAACAACACTGTACCCATCTACAGCCATTCAGATCGCCACGGTAACACTATCTGACAGCATCCTGCTAGACATCTGTACATCTAGAGCCATTGACAAAGCTCAGGCTCCACTATGATGTGATGCTACTGTGAGACATTGATTTGGTGTCAGGTTTAGACTTCTGCTTCTTCTGCTGTATCCTATAGTTCACTGCATTGAGTATTAGCCTAGTCTGGAATAGTCTGGACCTGTTTGTTTTGTTAGATTTTATCCACACTAGTCTTATACATCTCATATATTAACTTGAAATTGTATTTAGAGTGATTCAGTATTAGAATGTCTGCGTTCAAGACGTAATTCGCCATTGTTTTGAAGAAGTCAATGGAGCGTTTCAATTATTAAAGGTGCTATATTACATGAAATTGGCATTTAAAGCTGTGTTATAATGCTGTTACATCCTCAGAAACATACCTGGAGTTGAGTTTGATTTGATGTTTGAGTAATCCTGCATTATTAGTCTGTCTGTTCCACATTGTGATGCCATGAAGCGCCAGTTTTTAAATTAACAGCTACTTTTTTACCTTTTGTTGGCAATTCCATGGGCTGAAATTATCCAAATGATTCTAGTGAAGGTGTTCGGGGTTTAATATTATAGTGGAGTGCTTCATGACATCACAATTTGTTGAAGAACTCAAAATTTGTAGCATGTGTGACTGAAACAAAAGACAACTTCAGATATGTTTTTCATGAGGAAATTGCATTATAACATAGATCAGAAATAGTATAATATAGGTCATTTAACTCATATTAGATAATTCTTGTATTGTGTCTTTATAAATTTTAACAATATACGAGGAAGAGCATGTCCTCTTCAAAGCTACAGTGTGTACCAGTATGACAATAGCAGTTATTGTGGCTGTCCCTCTAGTGTTCTGAACCCTCTGCCTCCTCACTGCACGCTGTATCAGGAGGTTAATGGATTAAAACGGCCGCTCTGGTACCATAGTAAACCCTGTAGAGTTACGGACCAGTGAATTGCCATGATGTTGTCCTTGGTTAAAGAAATCAATGCTTTTGTGTGTGCGCGTGTGCGTGTTTGCGTGCGTTACAGAGCGTTGAAAGAAAAAGCAGGATTCAAATTCAAATGAACCCACAGAGAGGAGAGGATCAGAGCACTCCGTATGCTGTAAAAACAAAGAAGGAATGAATAAGTACAAGAATCGCCTGCATTCAGTAGAGGTAGAGGTAAACTACAGGGTCAACAGCATAGACTGTATGTATAAATGGACATAGTTCACCTGTTAACTGCTGGATTCCAAATAGTTCGTGGAAGCTTTTCTGGCTTCATCGACTCTGGCTCCAATACATGCATCCCGAATTTCAAACTTCCCGTCATCGTGCAGTGCATATGGGAAGGATCCTCCGAAAAAGTGAGCGTTAAACTGCCATGTTTGATTTCCCAATGGGATGCGTCTATTTTCAAAGCCGATATTTTCAAGTCTTTTGAACCATATCGCTTTTGTTTCTGGTTCTGATATTGTCATATTATAGTTATGGGATTTGGACTTTGTAATTGTGTGTTTGTTGAATGTCCTAACAGTGGAAAATGGCTTGAGAAGTGGGCTTGGAAGTTTGTGAACTCCATAAATGCAAAAGGGAATCAGATCTGTGTGACTGCAAACCTCCGTTGAAAAATAGTGAAAGGCAAAGGCGATGGGCAGTATTGATACACAGGAAGGACCAAAAATTAAACCCAAAGCCCATTTCTGGAGCCATTTTCTGCTGTTAGGACATCCAACAACCACACAATTATGATGTCCGAATCCCATAACTAAAATATGACAATATCAGAACCAGAAACAAAAGAGATATGGTTCAAAAGACTAGACAGGCGTTGACAATAGATGCACCCATTGGGAAATCAAACATGGCAGTTTGATGCTCATTTTTTTGGACGATCCTTCCCAGTATGCATTGCGCGATGACCCGAAGTCCGAAAGTCAAGATGAATATTGACTTTATACTGGAAAATTCTCACCCCTCACTCTATAACTGCTGCAGTGAGTCTTGTCATTGGGTCTTAAAATATTTATATTCAGCCGCTCTACATGATCCTGGTGTTTTTATTTCACCATTTTGTACATAAATAAATTCCTGTTCTTAATACAGACTTTGCTCTAAATTCACCCCTTTAACTGCTAGAATTGTGAGCTTCATTTGACTGGAGCTATCCCTTAGTCCACTCCTGTATACAGTCTATGGTTAGCAGCTTTTACGCAGAATATGCATTGTAGAGTGGTTTGTGCTTGTGGTCAGCAGCCTGTCCTCTCAGTCTCAGAGCTCTCCTGATGAAGCGTTTGGAAAGAGCCAAATCTTTGTACGATTTCACTGAGGCGTTCAAAGAGCTGAGTGTGTTAAATACTGCTGTGCTCTGAGGCTCCAGAGGTTTAAAAGGTGGAAAATCAAATGTGCTGTTAAAGCAACATTACCTGATTATGACGCTGAGGAAGGAGGAAGGAGGAAGGAGGTGGTGTTACGTTTGCTAGTATGTTTATCACAATTTTATCACTAGTAAACAACTGTTGAATTTTGTGAAATGAGCTGTTTGTTTTTCCTATATCCATGGAGCTCTATCGGAGTAAGAGGCCTTTCCTGTTTTGTTCACCTGGTTCTCCTTGGACACTGATGGGATGCTGCAGGACACAGAGGAGGGGCACTCTTGGCTCTTCCACATGATCTGCTGACCTTGCTTGACCAGTCCTCCTGTTAAACTGCACTGTGACCTTTAACTGAGAAAAGGGACTGAGACATGCAGTGGAAATGTTGCAGCAACATCAACTGCAACAGACTGCTGCAGCAAAACCTGAATATCCCATGGGATCAATAAAGTATCTCTCTCTTATCATTATAGTAATCTGGGTAATGAAAAATTGGTGTGTGTTTAGTTCTGCATATTTGAGCGGTAAAGGCAGAGCGTCATGATGAATATTTAAATCTGATTGGTGGAAGCGTCAGTGGAACAAGTGGGGAAATCTAACTTGAGTTAAATCCAGCTGAGAGAAAAGCACAAAGAGCACTTGTTTTGTTTTTCACAAACTAAATATATTTCTGTCTGAGTTTGTATTTAAATTATCTTTTTTATGATGTTGTTTTTATTTTTATGCTCTTTTCCACCATCATGAATTGTGTGGTTTTATGAATTGTTTGTTATCACTGACGGCGAAACGGCCCCTCAGGGACCTAATAAAGGGTTGAAATATTTTGTTTTGGTTTCACTGTTGACTGTGCCCAACCACAGTGCTGCTCTGTGATGGGTCTGAACCACTGGTTAGCCACAGCCAGGCCAGAGGGATTCTCTCTGCTTTTGCCATTTTTTTATGACCATAGTTTTTATGATAAAATGACTTTTGAAGTGTGTTTTTGAGCACAGATAATAATGATTAACAACAAAATACCAGACCATATATATATATATATATAATAGTCTACTGATCAGCAATTAATTGTCATAATCCTATTTACAATATACTCTAAGAGCAGCAAAAATCACCTTCTCTCATTTAACTTTAAACTTTAAAATGTAATATCAGTAAGTTGGCTTCACGTGACATAACATTTCCAGTTTTGAATTGAGCTGGTGGACAAGTCAGAATTCTGTGGGGGAAAAAAACCTTTAACCCTCTCCAGGCAGGCGTTGCAGATTTGCAACAGCTAAATTCCAAGTACCTACTGACTCCACATCCATATTATATGAGCTCTTTTTACTCAGGAGCCTTTTCTCCCATCCATGCTGATAAACGTGGGCAATGCAGACTGTGCAAGAATGACTCCACGCAAACGGCCTGCCAGAAGTGCAAAATACTTTTTTTGTTAACAAAGGATAAAAAAGTCAGAGTTGTATATTACTACCCCATATTATAATTTTCCCCAAAGAGAGGGTTAAAGTGTCAAAACACACGTCTTTGACCTGGATTCATGGTTAATATCCCTTACTACTCACATGAAACAAAAACTACCATGATTATTTTTGTTTTGTTTTTCCAGATGACCGGCTTGTTGCAATCCTTCGACACCAGAACTTCCTGAAGGAGCTGCAGGAGATCGCTCTTGGAGGTGAGCTTCAGTGAGAGGGAGTCTGGGAGTGAAAATGTTAAATGAACAAGATTTAATGAAACTAATCTTTAATGATTTTATTAGGCCAGAAGACAGCTCACGAAGACCCTCCCCTCCAGCAGAGAGCAGAAGACAGCCCGGGTAAGAGCTAAAGAGAGGTGATCCACTGAAGTGACATAAGCAGGGCCCTATTCAAAATACAGTCATTTAAAGGGTCCATATTACATTATTTTCTGATCTATGTTATAATCCTCATCAAGCTCATCACAAACATACCTGGAGTTGTGTTTTGTTTCATTCATACATGTTTAACACACATCCCCTGCATATTTAAGCTGAGTTCTTCTCTCAAACAAAAAGCACACACTGTTCCACCTTGTGATGTCATGTGGTAATACAGGAAGTGCTCCACACCATACACCTTCACTAGAATCATTTGATTGATTTCAGCGTGGAATTGCCAATTGTTACAGCCCTGGCGTTTGGTTCTCTGCCTTGTTTAGTGTGTGTTTAATTTCTTTCTTGTCTGTATGGATTTTTTGCTGTGGGAGCCCTTGCCCCTGATTGGTACTCTGCTCTTCAGTCCTGTTCACAGTAGTAAGTCAGACAAAATCTAGGAAAAATGAGAAAATGGCCCAGTTTTCTTCATCTCCATGTCATTGTAGTGTTCCGTTATGTTTGGCTAATCAACCGTTACAACCACATCTGAGTTTTCATCATTTCCACACTGACACACAACTCCGAGTGCACTGGACACAAGTGATTAAAAGAGATGTGGACACTAAATTCAAGATGATTCCAAACCGCACATACGTGACATTTACTTCAGTGGGTTTTATCACAGTCGGTCGATGAGCCCAGTGTTGGTAACTACACCAGAAGTTGTCATCGCATCTTTCCAAACGTCTTCCTGGTTTGTGACATAAGCGTGAATAGAGCCTATCTGGTTCCTAACCTGTACACCCGGCCAATCCTGCCTCACCTGCAGCCACCTCCCCCTATTTAAGAAGATCAGCCACACCAGTTTTGTGTCTGTGTCTCATTAGTGTTTTTAGTCTAACTTACACTTACACTAGTTTAGTTTAGTTCTGTTTTGTGTCTTTTTGTTGTCACTCAATTCTGTTTGTAGGTTTATGTGAGTTTTGTACACAGACTTGTTAAGTGTTATGTGTCTTCTTAGTTTGATACTTGTTTTTTATAGTACCTAAGTGACATGTTTTGTTGTTTTGGTTTGGTTTTTTTGTTGTAAATCCTGTTAATTTGCTTCTTAGTTTAGATACCTTTGTGTATATATTTAAAATTCCCATTGTTAAATTAACTTTTTATATTCCTGTTCATTAAATTGTCACTTTATTTAACCATTTTACATTGTTGTTGTACCACCAATCGCTAGTGAACAAAAGGTAAAGGGAAGCTGTTAACTTGAAAACAACTTCTTCATGACATCACAAGGTAGAGCAGAGCATTTTGAGCTTTGGTTTAGAGTCCTGGTTTAGTCCTGATTTAGTTCTTATTGCCCTGATTGAATCTAACAATCCCTGTCCATACGGCAATTGACCTTCCTAATGCACCCTGTCCCTTTACCGTAAGTACACCGTGACATACGGTTTTATTCCCCCATAGAAGTCCCTCTTCTCTCACACACATTTCCCCTTTAAGATCCCATGGTAATAATCCTCCCCTTTAAGGCCGATCATAAAATCAATGGGTTCTAGTAAATGAAAGTGTTTTTTTTTTTTTTTTTCCCAGATCGATCTATGCTGCAGTCCGTGGGGGGGCCAGGGGAGCGGTCAATACTGTCCCAGGAGAGGAGGGGGTCAGTGGAGGAGAGGGGGGAGGAGAGGAGAGGTGAGGAGGTCCAGGTCGTTCCAGAGGAGGAGAGGAGGGAGGAGAGTCAGAAGAGAGGGACCAAGGAGAAGAAAGGTAAGGAATTCATATCTCTGTAATTACTGGGCTCATCCACATGAAAGAAAAACTGGCACAAAGTTCACAGTGTTTGTTTAATTTACACTTTAGTTTCATCTTCAATAATTCTGTTCAAAGTTCACATTTTAAACACATCCAGAGCAATTGTCCAAGAGTGAAATATGAACTGACAAACAAGAATCATATTTCAGTTTGCACAGATCTAAACTACAGGGTTGGTTATCAGTTTTTATGCAGAATAAGACAAGATATTCTGTTGTTTGTGGAGGAAATGATAGTACTTCAACATGGCAGCTTTTGTGATTTTGCTAATTGTGTCCATCCAAATTGTGATTTTGATTTGGGATTAATCTTGCAGCCCCACTTTTGGCCCTTGTCTCCAGTTTAATGCTTTGACATCAGCTCCAGAGCACTCTTTATAATGAAACAGGGAGAGCCAACTGGAGTGTGGCCCGCAGGAGTGAGATCTACAGGAAAGAGGAGAGAGGAGAGAGGAGAAGGAAGGAGAGGGGAAATTAAATGGAATAAGAGAGGTGAGAGGAGAGTTGAGGAGAAGTGGAGAGGAGAGAGGCAAGAGGATGAAAGGAGAGACTGGATTAGAGGAGAGAGGAGCGATGCATATATCAGCAATTCATACTTCTCTTTTTTCTGTGGCTCTTCTGAAACCTGCTGAAGCTCATTCTCCACAAGCTGAACTGTGCATGAACCACAAAAAATGAGTTACAATGGCCCTGCACACGATCCTGTACACGATCATTTCCATGTAACTGAGCATAGTTCATTTTGCCCCAGTGTCTTTTTCACAGTGTAGTGTGCAAAGAGTGCTAAAGCTGCCTGTCTCTCACCTCCTCATTAAATCTCATGTTAAGTGAGTGGTGTTAGCGCAGAGACTCATTTGAATTCTGGGCCATGGAGCTTTCATCATTTGTCTGAGTGCTTCTGTCGCGGTGCCAGAGTCCGCCTCCAGGGAGCGCCACTTCAGCACCAGGGCAGGGCCGTCCATCCATCAGTCATGAAAAATATTATATCATATACCCATGGGTCTGCACTTACTTCATTCTGATTTTCTTTCCATATAGTGATAGACTGTGCGCAGGATTCAGCATTGCATTGTTCGGAATTTTAAAGAGGAGTATTTGAAAAAATCGAGTTTTTAAGCTTTCTAACATGCCTGAAGAGGTTTTAGATGTCATCCATGCATGTTTAAGTAATCTGGTGATCTCTCCCTGGCCATATTTGAATCCCTTAACCCCCTATAGCTGTAAGATTTTGTGCAATTCTCAGCTCACAACAAACCTACATCATTCATACAATATACAAACCAATACACTACAACTTGCTGATGTGCATTCTGATTGTGTTGTGATAGCGCTCTGAAGGGCGAGTGACTTAGCATGGAGAGCAAATAAAAGGGAGACTTACAGCATCAAAAATTAAAGTGAAAATGATCAGTTATTAGTTAATACACTGGTTTCAGCAAATATAATATTTTACATGTTACAATAAAAAGTGACATAGTGATCAAAATATCTTATGTGTTAGCAGTTAATACCCCCTCTTCAAAGCTGTAAGAGGACATACTACATACAGCTCCTTTAAAGAGATGGAGGTCGGAACCAGATGCTTTTAGATCTGGAGAATGAAACAGACTAACAAATGCACTATGTACTGTGCCCACAGTGTAGACCTCATGTGTCTGTGTGAGTTTTCCAGAGATGAGATGTATTGTTTTTATTCTTCCAGTTTCTGAACACGGTGAAAAGCGAGATTCAACCAAAACAAAATCAATATCGGAAAACGGAGAGAGAGATGAGAAGAGGGGAGGCGACAAAAGAGGAGGAGAGGAGAGAGAAGTGTCCAGTCTGCACTCGCTCAAATCAGAGGAGAAAGACAAGAAGAGAGGAGAGAAGAGAGAAGGAGAGGACAAAAGAGGAGGAGACGAGAGAGGAGAGAAGAGGAGTGGACTGAAGCTGTGGAGCAAGCGAGCCAAAAGCACACAGGTAAATGTCAGGATTTGTCAATGTAAACACCTTCTACACCTTCTGGGTACAACTCCACATCGTGAATTGCAAACTGGGAAAATGTAGGCTATTTTATTTCAAATGTTTTAGGTGCATAGATGAATTCAGTACTTAAAGGTGCTGTACGTGATTTTGCAGAGGTCCAAAGTTATTCCCCGTTAACTTTATGCATTCAGAGCATCCTAATTATTATTTCCACAATGAGTTTATATGAGTACTTGTTACAACTTTCAGAGGCCAGAGTGGAGTTTCCCCGTGACAGTAAAGCTACCAACAACTAACATGCTATCAGTGCACTTCCTGACTCTCTGACAAAAAATATAGTTTAAAATTAGATGCAGACACAGCTGACTTATTTTGATGTCAAGAGCTGCTTATTATTTGCTCAAATGCATGAAAATAAAAATCATGTACAGGACCTTTAAATGTCCATATTCATTGTAATAACAAAGACATAACTGATTTCTGTACATGTCAGGTTCAGAAGAAATCAGATGATGAGGCTGAGATCCCTCATCACTCAAAAGAAATCACAAACGAGGAAGTGAACGCAGAGCGGCGGAGCCCAGAGGAGGAGGAGCTACAGCTGCTCGCCCGCTCCGCAACAGAGGAGGAGGGCAGCGGCAACAAGAAGGTGAAGACATACAAACATATCAATACTCTGGCTGTGTTTACTCTCTGGGTTTGGTCCAGTTTTAGTTCGGGTTTAGTTTCAGTTTAGTCTGAAATTTGATGTGGGTGCAGCTACAGTATTAAAGCTCAGCAAAGATGTCAAAGGTGCTTGTGTCTGCTATATAGTTATAATCTATCACACTTTAGGAACATTGTGTTATAATGTGGACATGTTAATTTATAATATTCATCTAAAACAACAGTTGAATGAGACATTTCATTATGTCAATACCTGTGCTAGCAGGGAGCTGACTGTTTTCATTTGTACCGAAATGACATGACAAATTAAACACCTGTTGGATAAAGCCACATTATGTAACTTTTGAGTCAAAAATAGACTAAAATAAAAGCATGTTTTTTCATCCTAGTTGTGTTTATTGTACTAAAAATATGCATCTTGATTGTGAGCGGACTTGCATCTTCACAAACCTGCTTGATAATATTGTTCTTTTGGCTAAAATATTTCACTGTATGGCATAAAATTTGTCCGTTTCCATGTAAAATGTTCCAAAGTATGGCTTTAACTTTCCATGGGATCATACAGGTGACGTGCCACCTCCATAAAGTTCCACAGTGTATCTTCAACAGAGTTGATTGAGAGATGCCCTGCACTGGTGTGGGCAGAGACAGAGGGTTATATAAGCAGTGAACTAGGCCGTGTCTCTGAGCTCTGACAGTGAAATGTCTTTATTTAGTCTGAGCAGAAACAGTCAAACTCCAGAGGAACAGGAGGTGAAAGAGGAGAGGTATTTTTAGCCCCATCGTGACCAGCCCACTGCATAAAGAGTCAAAGTTTATTTTTAGCTATTTTGATCTAACTCTAGAGAATAATCCTTTAGATGTTACTATAATTAAATATTATAATGATACGTTGGTGTTCTACATGTATGTGCACGGCGGAATGTTCAGCAGTTCACCATAGAGACATAAACACAGCCAGAAAAGATTAAAGATCATCTTAAAACTCAAGACAAAATACAAAATGGATTTAAATGACATATTTTCCGGACTGATCAATACAGGCAGACATGTTAGTGTTTAGTAGCTCTTGGCTGATTGGCTGGTGCCCGAACTCACACTTCTGCGTTTTTTGCAAACCATCTACTGTATTCTGATTCCTGACATAGTCGCTGGAGAAAAATGAAATAGAGCAGAGGCACTAGGTGGCACCAGCCTGGCTAAGTGTTTAATATTTGATATTCAACAAAAAAGGTGAGAGTGACTAATTGGCTAATGCTATAACCTCACGACCAACTTCTAATCGGCAATTGTAGGTCGCAAGAATATCAAACCTGTTTGAAATCCAGTCACCTCTCATGAGGGTTTCGCCCTGTTGAAGTAGTTTGTACAGTGTGAGAATGTGAATCATGAGCTGTGAACTTTTAAACCCTGCCATTTGGGCGAACAGTTTGAGCTGGGGCTGAGTGAAACAATTGAAAATATCGCACAGTGTATGTCCGGCATAAGGCAGTTCATTCTGGTCAGACTGTGTTAAAACAAAACTTGGATTATAGTCTAACTTGAGTAACAGAGCTTCAGACATATCAGTGCCTTTAGTTAGCTTCACACCTCCAGAGAATGTAAATGACCTCAGCTGCAAAGTATCAATAGAGTGAATGAATAATGAATGATACTGTAGAGCGACTTTATAGATCTACATAAGATCAGATGTGTAACAGTAGAAACATGTTCAATTGTAATTCAGTTTCAAAACATAAATATAACAGTGAATATAAAATGTAAATAGTTAATTATTCATTCTCTCTCCTTTTTTTTTCTCTTACCCATCTCTTTCTGTCTCTGTCTCCCACTCTCCTCCTCTCTCTTCTTTCCTCTCACTCCCTCTCTACTCCCCTTCCCTTTCTCTCTTTTCCCTGCCCCATCTCTCTCTCATTTCATCTCCTTCATCATTCCAACATTCTCTCTCTTTTTCTCTCTCTGTCCTTCTCTTCTCAGGAGTCAGAGATAGAGAGCTTGGCCACCATCGAGTCAGAGTTGGAGAGTGTGGCTCAGAAGCTGCACGAGCTGAGCCGTGCCGACAGGGGGCAGCAGCGAGCCTGACCACTCCTCTGTAACACAACCACAACCGCTTTATCAAAAAACACACTGGGAGAAACTAAGATCTGTGAGTTAAAATGACCAGCCGGGAATGTTCCACACTATGGCATCAAACTCATCAAGCTTATCTAATTACACAGTTGAATTACTTGGAAAATACATTGAAGCTCCTTCATTTTACATGCATCACTGAAATAAACAAATCTGATTGGATGATCATGTTTGGCTGGACTTAAGAAGCAACTAAGTGAATGGTGACCAGACTGATATCCCTCTATATAAAAACACAGGGTGATTTCAGTTTGGATTTGGCTGGCTATGAGTTTAATGCCATGCTGTGGAACATTCCAGCAGATAAGGCAATAAAATCATGTCAAATGGAGACAAGGCGCCCCAACAATGTAAGTGTTCCTTAAATTTTAAAACAGTTTTAAATTGAAATTATAAAAAAAAAAAAAAAAAAAAAAAAAAACTGGCAAGGAAAAGAAAAAAATACACTGCACCTTTTAAAAAACACATATTATGCATTATTTGTGTAGTTACCGAGAAGTGTGCAGTTATAATGAATGAGACTGGATGACAGAAATGCTCAGATTTTCATTTATGGACTGAAAAACTGCACAGGAGATCTATGAACTTTTACCTGTGACGTAACAATCCTGGAAAATTTTAAATGGTGTATTTTCATAGGTTTAAAAGGAGGAGACTTCATCAAACAAGTGGATAAAAACTCAAAAAGGTCAATTTGCAAAATATGTGTTGAACCTGAATTTAGAAAAGAAAGAGAGAGAGAAAACTTTCCCAAAAATTTCAGAACTGAAGTCATTTTAACTCACATCTTGTATTTTGCAGTGTGTTCATGGGTGACCAGGTCTTTAGTCTCTCCAGGGTACAATCTATCACAGCCTCTCTGTGTGAAGCTTAGATTAGCATAAACAACATGCTAGATTTCCATTTAAAACAATCATAGAGGTTTTAAAAAAGAAGCATCAGGTAGAAAAGGGTTAACAACTTTTATTTCTTTTCTGTTTAATGTAACTATAGATTTTAACTTTAGGCTAAATGTGAGAAACGTGGGACTGATCGCTATAAGATAAATGCAGTATTAACATCACAAAAAACACCAATAAGTAAGTTCAGTTTATGATGCTTGTCTCTATGGAGATGTTATCACTTTGCCTGGAATGTTCCACAGTATGGCATTAAACTGATTAGTCTTATTCATTCCATTACAATTGGTTTTACTACTAATTGTGAGTGGGCTCGGCCTTCCACAGATTGGACCAGTAATTTTGCCTATATATATGCTTGTTTCCATGGAATTGCATATGCTTAATGCCATATTGTGGAACATTCTGGCAAAGCAGTAGCATCTCCATCTAGGAAGCAGTTCACTAGAACAGTGACACAGTGTATCTTTAATAATAAGAGCAAAAGATTAAACCAGGATCCAAACTAATAAAAACTTACTATTTTAATTCACAACACATTTAATTTTAGCCTTTGTGAGAAAAGAAAATGCAAATCTTTATCAGGTGGAAAATTTGCATTATTATAATATTGAGTATATTTTTTCTATTTAAATTCAGAGTAATTATTCTGATTTGAGTCATTTTGAGTAGGATGGCTACAATATATTAACACTGTATTTATGTAATTAACAATCAAATCATAACTAATAAAAACAAACCAAATCAAGATATCAATTCTAAATATTTCATTTTGGTTTTTACAATGTACAGACTAACCGCATGTTCAGCTCATGTACAAAAAGCTCATTCTGGGAGTTTCTGAACAGGCCAGACCATCATAGCTGCTTCTTTGTTGTAGATAGTCATCAGGTCAAGACAAAAGCAATCACTCTTAGACCACAGATGCTGGTTCAAATGTACAATCTACAGATGTACTTGTTTAATGATGAAATAAATACTTTTGTTTTGTCAGGAAAAGTGTTGTGTGATTTTTAAAGTTTATTTTTTAATGCAAGAATCTGGTAAAACTTTGTTGCACTGATGCAGCTTGGTCTGTTACGTTTTCAAGCATGATATACTGCCACAAAGACAACGCCATAAATGATAACATAGAAACTACTAGTGGTATAATATTAATGTGTATATACAGTAACTTTGGACATACAAGCTAACCCCCTGACCACAATGTTTCAAACAGGAAGTGAGCATGGAGGCGCTTTCGGCTCCATCGACCCTGGCTCCAAATGACGTTGGCGATATCGCCCTTCTCTCTGTAAGCGCTGTAGTGAGCCTCAGCATTTTGGTCATAAAGGGACAATCCGGAATTTTGGACATAGGACCTCATTTCCTAGTGAGTATTTGCAGAGGTCGCTGGTGCTAGGCTAGTGCATGTCAATGGCCATAGTTAGCCTGCCACTAAAAACAGTCTTACCCACTCCACAAAACACCTGAAGCAAATTTATTATTTCACCAGACTGTTGATGTGAATGTCTGTGTTGATAGAATAATGTTTGAAATAAAACTAACCTTTCATCACATGAATCGTGGCATGTTGAGGGACTATTTCCTCAGCAGCAGCAGAATTTTAGGTCGCTGCCAAGTTAGGAAGTACAACTTGCTGCTGCTGATCAGACATAAATCCTTCAAATGCAAGGTTGGTTTTACTTTAAAATCATTCTATCGACACAGACATTCACATCGACAGTCTGGTGATGTAGTTGTTTTGCTTTGGGTGTTTTGTGGAATGGGTAAGTGTTTAGTGGCAAGCTAACTATGACCATTGGCATGTGCTAGCCTAGCACCAGCTACAAATACAAGGACTGGATGGAACATCTCCACACATCTCCAACACTCTGGCTCACTAGGAAATGAGGTCCTATGTCTAAAATTCTGGACTGTCCCATTAAAATATTAGTATTAATTCACTCTACGTGAGCCTGGTGTTTTATTTTGTGATTTTGTCCATAAAGAAATTTCTCTTCTTAATATGGAACTGGCTCTATAATTTCAGTCTCGATGAGCTTCATTTGAATGGAACCAAATGCTGTGAGTGACACGCCCTTAATCCAGTCTATGGCAGCAACAAATAAATAGCAGAATGAAACAATAATTAGTCTTAGAATTTACTTTTTCAACCAGCTGCAGCTCAAATCTGATCATATTACAACTAAAATTCCCGCACTATTGTAAAGAATTTGTACACATGATAAACAGTGAACAAAATACAGTATATAGTTCCAGCTTTCATGGAACAATAAGTTGATGTAGTAATTATCGTGACTGGCCTAGATACATCAGATACATTCAAAATACAGTTTGTTCTATAAATGTGAGCAGTGAGTCATGGAGCGCCCACTCTCTACACTCACTTTACATTCACACATGACTCAGGTAAAAGTCAGTTTGGCTCCATATAAAAACGCATCCATCTTTTTCTGTATCTGGGGCTGGGTCACTGGGTTTGAGCGGAGACCCCTACCTGACTTCCCCCTCCCTAGACACTTCCTCTGAGGTGTTCCCAGGTCAGCCAAGAGCCAATCCCAGGGAGGGTTGGACACCTCTTTCTGGAACACGTCTTTCTCTTGTACATGTAAACACATACCAAACACCCACTTGGACCAAGTTCTATTGTTGTGTCCTTAAGCAAGACACTTCACCCACATTGCCAAGTAAGAAAGTGGCATGTGAGTGGATGGAGCTCAACAGTAAAATAAATATTAATAAATATAACAACAGTGAAAGTAGTTGGAAAGCCTGCATGGTAATAACAAGAAGATCTATCATTTTATTTAAAGTCTGTTTCTGAAACTTTATAAATCGCAAAGTTATTTGTTATTTAGCAGAATCGTGCTATGGATATTAATTAGCACGTAGCTGCTTAGCCTCTCTGATGTCTTTGAACTCTTAATATTTAGGTTTTTTGGAAAGTCTATGGGAAAAATAAATCGAAAATGAACCTGAGTGAGCAGTCACTGCTAAGGTCCGTGATTGGTGATGGTTGGAGTGGCTGATTGGAGTGTAGATTGGCAGCCTCCAGTCTGTCCCAGGGCATCTGTGGCTACAATAGTACATGGAGTGTATGGAATGGAGTGAAAACATGTGAAAAGTGAAAAGTGAGCGAAAAGAGTATCAGGTATCTGTTTTAGTATCTGTTTTAGTGGCATGTAAATAAACCCACTGCTGAAAATAACAAACTCGAGACATCTGTAAACAAGAGATTCTCCAGGAGCCGTGAGTCACTAAGACGTTATCAATTATTCACAAAGGTCAGCAGGGGGCGCCATTTGACTTCCTCTGAAAAGGTTAGAGTCTGAGTGCTACTATTTTGGGCACTTCAATTAGAGTCTTCTACAGGATATCAATTACTATGTGTCAGATGCCCTCCCCTCCACCTGTACCTCTGTGTGTCAGATGCCCTCCCATGCACCTGTATCTCTGTGTGTCAGATGCCCTTCCATCTTCATACTGTATTTTCATGTGTGTCAGATGCCCTCCCATCCACCTGTATCTCTGTATGTCAGATGCCCTCCCATCCTCCCATTTTATATCCATGTGTGTCAGATGCCCTCCCATCCTCCTATTTTAAATCCATGTGTGTCAGATGCCCTCCCTTCCTCTTCTATTCCTGCGTGTCAGATGCCCTCCCATCCTTCTTCTGTATTTCCATGTGTGTCAGATGCCCTTCCATCCTCCTATATTCCTGTAGTGTTAGACTGAGATGGTGCAGGTCAAATGTCTCCAGTTGATCTGCAGATGTTGTGGTGTGGTTGGATAAATGCACATGATGAACCTTGTCACTAATAGAAATGATCAGCGAATTTAAGAGCCTTTAATTGGGTTATATTATTTTATTTGTAGTGTTTAAAACCCCTTACCATTCTGGCCTTTTTCTCCTAATGTCTGGACTCTGTAAAGCTGAGGCTCTGTAGTTTTAGCCTCTGTCTGATCTGCTCTCATTATAAGTGGGAAAAAGCGCCACACAGGGGAAAGTCAGATTTCAAATTTCGCTTAAATTATTCAGGGTAAATATAAAAATAGGTATAGCCGGTGTCTCTGGAGATGATCTGAAAGACACGAGACTGAGGATTTGTTGGGTCTTGACAATTCTCATGTCAAAGATGAAGCATATCTCACTAAAAATGAGATTTAGAGACTTGTTATTAGGCCAAAAAGTCCAGGGGGAATTCATATAAAAGTCCTAGTAAATGTTATTTGTTACAGATCTTCATTAATGTTTTACATGTTCATGAGTTTAATAGTTCCCTTTTATCAGAAGGGGGATAAAGAGAAATGAATCAAGAAAAAGCACATGGTCCTTCAGAATCGTAAGAGCCTGGAGATGATAAGAAACAAGTTGAATGTAAAAACAGTGAAAACTCGTGAGCATAAGTTTGTATAAAAAATATAACATTTTATTTCCAGCTACAAAGTGAAACATGTAACATCTTTGTCACATTTCTCAATAAAATAGTACAAAATAGAATAGTCCAAATAAAGGTACATTTAAGAAGCACAGGACACATTTAAATTAACTTAAACTGTACATTTACAGTATTTACAAAGTTTTACAAAGGAATGAACACACCATTCTTCCAGTCTTTTTTACATCTATTTCCTCATAAAATAGACACTTTTTGTTACTAAGGTTTTTCCTTCAAACCTGACTCAGTTTTCCTTATTCAGTGCCGTGGCAGAATTCCCACTGTCTACGTTAAGCTGCTTTTTCTCATCCACATGTTGTTTAGGACGGAATTTTCAGGTCACATGTTACATTTTTGGATAGTTTTAAAGCTATTCTTTAAATTTAAGTCCCATTTTCACAAAATAATGTCATTCTAGAACTAAGTTAGGTCTAAACTGGGTCTAAACCAGGTCTAAAAGTGTTGCTAAATAAGAATAATTTCAGATCTAAACCAAGACTAAAACAGGTCTAAATCAAGTCCAAAAACAAAATCAACATGCATCTTTTTCTGGACTGAACAAGGTCTAAACCAGGACTAAACCAGGTCTAAACCAAGTACAAATCAAGTCTAAACCTGACTAAACCAAGTCTAAATTAAACTGTCTCTAACCCAGGTCTAAACCAGGTCTAAACCAGGCCTAAACCAGGTCTGAACCAGGTCTAAACCAGATCCCAACGAGGTCTAACCCCGGCCTCCCCACCTCAAACGTACAGACAGAGTATACATTCAGAGTTGGCCTATGCGTGGACACAGGGCCCATTGACGGCTGTTTGCAGATGGGAGGGGCCGCTCGCTCCAGCTGCTTTCACTTAACACTTTACAGTCTGCAAATGGAGGGTGGGACTGTTTTTGGACACCTCCTTTAAACCAGGGTCACGGTTTCGATAAGGTTTCAAAAGAATAAGGCCTTCACTTCACTGCAAAAAACGTCAACATCGACACCAGGTCAAATTACTTAGGAATGTTGAGTAGTTTTAACAAGGTTGGCTTAATAGACTGTTTACTTTTCCGCCAGTGGACTAAGACAGTATTTTTCTTACTTTCTGTGCAATTCTGTGCAATAATCATACTGGCTAAACCGAAGTTGTGAAAACTACTCAATTCCAGTAATTTTAACAATAATAACTAGTCATTTTTGCAGTGTTCAAATGGACGGTTTGTTAAAATGGCAGTAGGTTGTTCAAAAGTCTAATAGTGCAGAGTCTTTTGGAGCTGCTAGGCAACTCTCTGTCTGAGTTTTGGCTGGAAAAACTCCAGCTGTAAAAAAAGACATTTAAATATAGCGCTTTGGCTATTTCAATGCTTTCTACATTGCAAAAAATAGCATGTAGTTTAGTTAAAGATGACTTGAACTAAGAATCTTAAGTAGGTGTTAAGGCCTAGTTTACTTGACTTGTTTCATGAGATTGCAACTTTTTTTTTATCTCAAGTTAAATGTTGTTCTTAAAAAATTCAGACTTGATTAACACCAATAATTGTGTTAATTCAAACCAATTAATCTAATCTAGGCAATACTACTCAAGATTTTCAAGTCATTCAAACCAACTTACACATGTTTCTTGCAGTGTATCAAGCTACAAGCATGAGATGTTTTTAGATTCAAGTCTTAAGCTGCCCATAGTCTCTAAAATGTGTAATTTCTAACTTCTCACGCCATATCACCGATCATTTTTTTGTAGTACATGGACTCGAAGATGTCGTTTTCTCCGGGGCAGTTGTGATGGCACGCGCACGACTTAATGAACATCATGTGCTTCTTCATAATCTGCCCGTCCTGGCATTTAAACTCCATGGGCAGAGTGGTGGTCCGATGGGGGGTGCAACAGCGACCATCCAGGCACACGCCGCAGAATTTGGGTCGGTAAGACTTGGTAGTGGTGCAGCCGGAAATCTCGAATTTCATCGGTTTGGAGACTCTTGGTGTACGGATGCACTTTTTGCCTTTCTGTAAACAAAAAGAGACAGAGAAGTGTTTGTTAATACATATTCTTAAGACAGTCTATCTGAAGGATTAGCCTATTGTCCATGTTAAAATATCTTAAAATAAATCAGAGGATCTACTTTGAGTAAGTCTTTCAGTCAAAACTACTCAAGATTCTGAATTCATTCTAACTCATATAGCTAGTGTTTCTTCTGTTATATTTTGGTGACTCACCCTAATGCTCTGCTCCATCTGGGACTCGCAGGGTCGGACCATGCAGAGACGTGTTTGCTTCTCCAGTCTGCAGTCGCGGTTGTCATTGGTTACTCTGGTCGAAATGCCCAGGCCACAAGTCTTAGAACAGGCACTCCATTCGGTGGTCTGGACTAAGCAGTTTTCTCTCATCAATGAAAGATCGGGCCCATAAGTCTCCTCCTCTCTGTATGCTGCAAAAATCAATCAATATCTGATTAGTATTTGAAGTAAAACACCATTCACTGTAAAAATTTAAAATAAAAAGATCCACTGTCTATTGATAATACACTGCAGTGTATTTGTGTGTTTACATTACTTAACCTGACAAGAATTCACCATATTGACTGATTATTTATCCAGTTATCTTAATTCCTTGTACAGTAAATTACATGCACCACACAATCTAGTTTACTTTATAATTAAAATTTTAAGTTGTTTTGACTATTTTACTTTAGTTTACTTATTATACTTAGATGAATAGCTTACTTCAGCAGCAACTGTCAGTCAAATTTGAATATTCTTACTCAAATTGGATGAAGAAATGTACTGAAAGTGATTGTTTTAACTGATCTAAACTAGTTCACACAACTCAAAATACATAGTGAAGTCAATTTAACTAAAGCAGAGCATTATCAGTGTATTATCAATTAGATATTAGATTACATTAACAAATATTAAACAAAAAACGTATTGGAAATTGGACTTACCAGGCAGGACAGATCCCATGAAGGGGTCATTGTACGTGGGGGTGTCGCAGACCCACTCTTCGCAGCACTTGCCAGGGACCTTGATCCTTCTGGGCATGGGGCAGTCGGGACTTGGCAGACGGACATCCATGGAGCAGAGAGGGACGCAGCCAACAGCGCCATCTAGGCACGTGCACTGGTACTTGCAGCTGCTCTGGAAGCTCTCCCCACTCTTGTACACCATGCCATTGAAGACACAGGTGGCTCCTTCTCTAGCTGGGAATAAAATATAAGATTTTTAAGTTTAATTCAGCATTTTCGCTGTAAAAATAAATTAACACTGATTAAATGTTGAAAGTCTATGGGTACATTTTTTACGATAATCTGTTTTCGATAAGTAATCTAAATGAGTTAAACTGACTTGAATTCTGATTAATCTACTTTTTGCATAGTTAATCTCAATTTACAGTTTTGGCACAGCATAGTTTTGTCTTTTTAGAATGTGTTTCACTGCTTTAACCTAAATTCTAATATAAAATCTTCATATTAGTTGAATAAGACTTTGTACATGACTGTCCTAACTTACTGACTTGGAATTTTGCACAATATGCCAAAATTTAAAAACTTTAACCTTAGTAAGTATATAAAATTTAACTAGTCAAACAACTCAAGATTACTCAAGATTTTAAGCCACTTTAATTCAATTTTCCAGTTATTTTTCATGCTATTTTCTAATTTTCCAAGCTTACCTGTACAGACACCGATTCTTCTGTTGATGGGGGCTCCAAAGTCGCAGTAAAGGCCTTTGTGAGGGTCGCACACATCTTTCTCAGTGCAGAGTTCACCCATTTGTTTGGCACAGACCCGGCAGCACCCGCAACCGTCCAGAACCAGGCTGACCCCCGGGGGGCACTGTGGAGGCGTGGAGGGGCAAGTGCACTGGCCACTGCACTCCTGACCGGCAACCTTAGCAACAGAAACAGACAATTTAGTGAAAAAGTCAAAATGTGTTTTCAAAAATTACAAAAGTTATTATCTTGGGAGATTTTTATCTTCAGAATGTATCTTCAAACTTGACAAAGTTTGTTGGGAATATTTTAGGTAAAAATATAGATTTTTTTGAACAAAATCACATGTTTTGTAATGCTGAAAAAGAAACATTTAATTCTGTCATCTGGACAAAAGTTTTTAGAGTGAAGACAAAACTTTTGCCCAGTTGACAGTATTGATTTTGATTTAGATTTTCTTTTGCTATATGAATCATACCTGGACAACTGGGGGATTACACAGACAATGCTGAAAATGTGATCAAATTAAAATAAAATACTTACCAGATGTGACAGTGCGATGCACAGGAATGGCACCAAAATCCTCATTGTGGCACTCATCTTGCTCGTCTTCAAATCTTTAAACTTTCTCAGTTAAGTCGTTGGATAATCTCAGTAAAGTTTGAGCGTTGGTAGTTCGTTGTGATCAAAGCGATCTCTTGTCTCTCGTAGTCAGTCTCAGAGTGTTCGTAGCGTGTATCTCTCTCCGCTGCTCCGCTTGTCTCGTTGAAAGTTGTAGTTGTAGTTGGAGGTGAAAGCCAGAGAGTAGCTTCGGTGTTGGTGTTCTGAGTGTTGGAGGAGATCTGTGGAGCTTTTATAGAGCGGCCGGCGTGGAGGTGCCAGGCCTGGACAAACATGCACATTCTTGGCATTCTTTCCTGGCTTCGTGACCCCCTCTCCCCAGACAGCCCACATTCCTGCTGTCTGAAAGAGAGGGCCAAGATCCAAACAACAAGACCCACCTACTCTACTCTCCCTCCTCTCTCTTCCTTCATCTCTCTTTACCTCTTCTTCTCTCTCCCTCCTTCTCTCTGCCCCCGTCTCTCTCTTTCTTTCATTTTCACTGTTTTCTGTCTACTTCTACCCCCTTTCTCTCTTTTTCTCTCCCCCCACTCTCTCTCTGTTTCGTTCATTTTCACTGTTTTCTGTCTACTCCTCTCCTCCTCTTTTTACCTCTTCTTCTCCCTTCCTTCTTCTCTCACTCTCTTTCCTTCATTTTCACTGTTTACTGTCTACTCCTATTCTCTCTTTCCCTTTTTTCTCACTCTTTCCAAAAAAACATTTCCCATTCTCCTTCCCTCCTTTCTCCCCCTACTCCTCTACTCTCCCTCATTCACTCTTGTTTCATTCATCTCTCTCCTCCTTCCTTGTCTCTTTCTCTCCCCCTCTCTCCCCTCTTCCTCCCTCTGTCTCTTTCTCTCTCCCTCTCACCCCTTTACCCCTCCTCTCTCCTTCTTTTCCTCTCTCTGCCTCCCTCCATCCCTCCATCCCTCCCTCACTCCCGTTTTCATCCCTCTTTCATCCCGCAGGACCCCACACTGTGAATTCCTTTGCTCTGACTTCACTGACAGACAGCCGGGACCTATAAATATTAATCTGAAAAAAGCCAAAAGCGGCGTTAGTGGCACAGTTCAAAGGAAGCGGGAAAGGAGGTTACGGTAAAGACTTGTTAAAACAATGAGCGGACTGTTGTAAAAGTGTGAAAACATGAGTTCACAAACCAATAAACCAATGTGTTACACCAATGTCCACCTATATGTTAAAATGCCTTCAGTTCAGAATAACATTTGAGTAGTTTTGACTAATACGCTTTTATTTACTTAAAGGACTGTGATTCTGTGACTCCTTTCAACACATTTTTTTTCTTATTGACAAAATTATAGCAAGAAAATGTTATAGTTTCAGTGTTTTTTTTATCGGTTGTGTATTGTTGATCTACTGTGTGTTACAATGTTCTTTTTTATTAATGTATTTGGAGTTGTGTTTTGTTTCATTCACATGTTTACCCGCAAATCCTGCATATTTAGGCTGAGTTCTGCTCTCAAACGGAAAACACTCTGTTCCACCTTGTGATGTCATGTGGTAGTACAGGAAGTGCTCCACTGTGCTCCTCTCTGCTCCTCTGGCTCTGCTCCTCTCGCTCTGCCCCTGTCTGCTCATGTGACCCTGCTCCTCTAGCTCTGCACCTGTCTGCTCCCATGTCTCTGCACCTGTCAGCTCCTCTATGCATTTCTGGCTCTGCTCCTTTGGTTCTGCTCCTCTCTGCTCATCTAGATCTGTTCCTTTCTGCTCCTCTGTTTCTTCTTCTGTGAGCACCAGTCTACTCCTGTCAGCTCCTCTGTCTGCTCCTCTAGAACTGCTCGTGTCAGCTCCTCTGTCTCTGCTCCTCTGGCTCTGTTCTTCTGCTCCTCTGACTCTGCTCCTTTGGCTCTGCTCCCCAAACTCTGGTCCCCTGGCTTTGCTCCTCTGACTCTGCACCTGTCTGCTGCTCTGGCTCTGCTCCTCTGCTCCTCTTCTTCTGCTCCTCTGGCTCTGCTCCTCTGACTCTGCTCCTCTTCATTTGCTTCTCTGGCTCTGCTCCTCTGACTCTGCTCCTCTTCCTCATCTCCTCTGGTTCTGCTCCTCTCTGCTCCTCTGTCTCTGCTCCTGTCACTGCCCCTGTCTGCTCCTGCGTGCCCCTGTATACTGTACCGTGTGCTCATGTCTGGTAGAACATTCTTTACGCTTGACATCACAGGAGCAGAAGACTAGGGGTGAATTTTAAGCCAATAAAACCACATTGACTCCCTGCACAAGTTGTACCGAGCGGCTGTGTGGAAAAAACATTATTTAAGGTTTGTTTTTGTTTTGCAGACACAGTACTGTACAGTGGAGCAGGCACGTTTCACAAGCGTCATGGTAAATCTGGATTTCAAATACAGCGTGAATGGAACCAATTCATTCAGATGTAGGCCAAACACGTAGTTAGTATTTCTCAAATCAAATCCAAAATCTGTTCCATTTCAAAGTTTAAAGGGCCCATCTTGTGCTGTTATAATGTGGTTCCTCAGCAAAAACATACCTGGAGTTTTATTTTGTTTCAGTCACACTTTTATCACACAAACTTTGTAGATTTACACTGAGTTCTTGTGTCAAACAGAAAACACTCTGTTCCACCTTGTGATGTCATGTCAATAAAGGAAGTTCTCCACTGTGTTTTTAAACTTCATACTTCTTCACTTGAATCATTTGGATAATTTCAGCCTCGTAACTATTGCTTCATGACATCACAAGGTGAAACAGAGCATTATGAAATTTAGAGATGTAGACAGACTAATAAATAAGGATTACTCAAACATGTGTGAATGAAATGAAATACAACTACATTTTTTGTTTGTTTGTTTGTTTTTTTGATGAGATATACTGTGGGCTCGCCTCCGCATAGAACTGACTTGTAACTTAGCCTTCATCTTCATAGAGATAGATTTATGAGTTTAATGTCATATAGTGGCTCATTCCAGGTAAAGTAAACATCTCCATGGAGGCAAGCAGATGCCTTCACCAGAAAGGTTACATATTGTATCTTTAACTATCCATTGTAGGGATTATTGTCAACCAATAATATGCAAGGAGATTGCGCAGTAACTCCAATAGTTGGCAGTTCAATTCCTTACCAACTTTGCATATAGTTATTGTGCTTTTGTGCAAGACACTTTGAATGGGAGCGAGTGCGTTACCGTGACGTCCCTCTGGTCAGATGAGTAGACTGACCTTAGAAGAATGTGGATATTTGTGAATATTTGGAGAACAAAGCCTGATGCCCTGTTCAGCTGCATTTCCCCAAAATGATGTTTGCGAAAGGGACACAGGCCCTGGAAAAAGATCAGATAATTCTACAAAGTATCGTCGGGAAACGTAGAAGAATTCACCCTCTTGTCTCATAACTAAATTAATCTAACGATAACTAGAAGCTTTCAAATATCATTTTAAATTGTTAATTGCTTTTAACAGTGTCATGAGTTTGTCATTTTTCATACTTTTTAAAACTATGCAAAACATGAAGATGAACTTTAAAATTTAAAGTAAACTTATTGAGCTTGTGTATGCTATATAGTTATAATCTAAGATCACTATATTTATATTTTGTGGCCAATATCATCAACATTCCCTAGAAGTGTAATGCTAACTGTGGGCTCTTGTCTGTCTGAAGCTCTGTTACTCTTAGCCAGGCTGGCGCCACCTAGTGTCTCCACTCAATTTCATTTCTCTCCAGCGACTAGGTCAGGAATCGAAATACACTGGACGGTTCGCAAAAACCCTGGAAATGCAAGTTCAGGCACCAGCCAATCAGCGAAGAGTCATACATTCTGTGTTGGCAACGATTCCCGAGATCGAAGATTTAAAGCCGGAACAAAGAGAATGTTTGGTGAATTTTATCAAGGGGAAAGACGTTATTGTTCTTCTTCCTACAGGATTTGGGAAAAGCTTAATATACCAGTTAGCCTCGTTAGCGGCGCATTACATACGTCATGACCAAATAGCAGCGATTTGAGTAAATAAAAAAGTACCCGCCTACCATTGAGCGAACTAATCCTACAGTAATCCACGGTCAGACGGTTTCTACAAAGTGAAACCGGCTGATGAATCAGGCTACTCTTACTCAAATTAGACTTTAATCTGAGCTTTGTTTTACCACAATCTGATTTAGCTGGAACTACAGCAGGTGAATTGTGCTGTTAAAGTCCCTCTCAAATAAATTGCAGTCACAAGCTAAAATTGTTTTTCAGCTAGTCTCACCTTTTTTGTTGAAAATCAAATCCTTAAACAGGACTATGAACACTTGTATTGATCACAGGCTCCTGTAAATGTCTTGTTTAAATCTATTTGATATTTTTTCTGGAGTTTTCAGACAATCTTAAAACTAATCTATCTCTGTCATAGATATTCATGCAGAAAACCCCTGCATGATGTCACTGCGAAATACGTATATGTGATAGATGCAGACACAGCAGTCTTTTATAAGCTAAATGTTAAATATCAAGTGTGAGGTGGTCGAAAGTGGCTCCAAACACCTGAATAATCTTAATAATAATACACTTCTAATAAGGTTTAGTCTGTGCCGCCTTGAACAGCAGCTGTGAGTCCTTGGCCTAGTGGTTTATTTCACTCCATCAAACCCAAAGCGGCGCAAAGCAGGAAAAAGTCCAGACTAACTGTTATTTTTCCTTTTTTTTGAATGGTGGGATCAGACACAGGGCAGACTGTTATGAAAGCATGAAGACGGCTCTGCTCCTTCTCCGCTCGACCAATCGGAAACGCGAAAAAAGAGACAGAAATCCTGTACAAGTCTGCACCCGGGAATGTGAGAGCCCGGCCAAGCACACAGCTACTACAGCAGGAAGTGCGACCATAAAAGGACGTCTGCGCATTCCCAAATATGGACATGTTCTGTGTGAATGCTGGCTCAGGACAGTACAGTCAAAGTACAAGCACTGCAAAAACACATACTGTATGTTTGTATGAACTGAAATACACTCAATTCCCAATACTATCAATCTATTTCAAATGTGTATGTTTAAATAGATTAAATGTATTGATACTTTGCAGTGACATCACGCTGGGGGTGTTCCACTTATATCTCGACTGGTGGAATGGTCAGCAGTTACCATGGTGACATAATGCTCACATTAGCAAACACTGACAAAAAAGTTTTAAGATAAAAAATACAAAATGGATTTAAACAACACATTTTCAGAAACCTGTGATCAATACAAGTGTTCATGATCAGAGAGACTAACTCAGGGGTCTCCAGCCTTTTTCCTCTGGTGAGCTGCCTTTACAAAACAAGAATGCCAGAGAGCTACTCATTTTAGCGGCTGCAAAAATTGA